TATCTCTATTTTTCCGACAAGCTTCAGAAGAATTTTTTTTTTTTTTTTTTTTTTTTTTTTTTCCCACACAGACCACGTCGATTCAGCATCTCTGTGACCCGCTCCCCGCAATCCTCAGCACGGGCCACGCGTGACCGTCGTGCCCTCGCACCCCTCGGGCTGCTCCGCCGCCCGTCCCCGCAGCACGAGGCCGCGCGGTTTGGGGCTGGGGGGCCGCGGGCTGGTCCCTGCGAGCCGCGCTCAGCTGCCCCACGCTGGCTGGCTCCCAGCTCCCGGCCGCTCCGCTTTCCTCCCACACGGCCGTTTGCTCAGCCTAACAAGTCAGCATCTGATGAAGTCTCTGCCGTTTGGCTCCCTCAGGGATTATAATATGACTGCAGCAGGTCCCAGCTATTCTCTGCAGCCCAGCATGTTGTTGCTTCATTAAACGCCAAATTGTTACATTAATTCTAACTGCCCTGTAGAGATGTAGCTGTCAGGAATGATTTACTCGCCTCCAGCTGACTCAGAGACTTTTTGCAGGCTCCTGCAGAGGAGCGGGAAGAGGCCAGTGCCCGGGTGGGAGTGGGATGCAGGACGTGTGTCCAGCCAGATACTGGCAGCGAGTGGCTCTGCCCTCCCCAGAGAGACAGAGACGCTCTTCAGACCCCAGTGGAAAAATAACCAGGGAGCTAAAAAAACCAAAAAGGTGTGGAGTTTGTTTTTGCCTCTGCCGGTGGTGACCAAAGCTGCCTCTTAAAATGCAACATCTTTGATGGAATATTTACTGAGTCCAAATCTCTGGGATCTGTCCTTCACCCTGGCAGGCTGCGGGAGGAGGGTCTGGGTCATATATAACTGTCAGAAAACATCTCTGGTGAGTCAGGACTGAGACAGTTGTTAGCTCTCCTCTGTGTTTTCCCTGGGTTCAGTGCAAGGATCTCAGTGCTTCACGCACAGCAAGTCAGTCAGGAGAAGGGGAAGGGACCCAATTCCCCTCTATTTGGACATTCCATCCCTCAGGAGCCCCGAAACAGCAGCGAGGGCTCGCCGGCCAGTGCCGGTCCCGGCAGCATCACTGCCGGCTGCCTGGCCCCAGAGCCCCAGGGCTGCACCAGGTCTCCTTTATTCATTTGTTAGAAACTACCGGAGCCTTCATTCAAAATGGAGAGAAGACAAAAGAACTTGATAGCCAATATGCAGTTTCTGTTTATAAACCTGAAAAGACCGTTTAAATAGTATCCTCTGTCAGAGGATCAGAGTCTATGCTTTCTGTAGGCAGTACGCATGCCTTCCTGACACTCCACTCACAGACACTTATACACATATGTGTATCCTGCAAGAGAAATGTGTTCTAACATGGACAAGTTCGTTTAAACCCAGAAGCCTTGAATATTTGGCTATTAAATTATTTTTCATCCCCAGATTGCAAAATGCTGAGCACAACAGCAGTGCTTCTGCGTTTTAAATCTACGTTTTCCCCAGTCTCTGTTCCCTACCCACTGCACCCGTGTGCCAACAAACACACCAGCACATGTGGTTTAGTGCAGAATGCACTCCCACCTGGACCCATAATAAAGATGTCAGAGAGAAGAAACAAACAAACAAACAAAAAACTAATTTAAACACCTTTGCTTTTCTCCTTGGAGCATTTTTGCTAGCTTGGTCTTCTTCTCAGGTCTTAACAATGCCATTTGCTGCTTTTAAATGTTATTTCAGTGTATAAATCGTGCAGGTCTCCTTTCCTGCCTTGCTCCCACGGAGCGTGGTGCGGGCAGGGAGAGGCAAGGCGGGATGCGCAGGGAACGTCTTTGCTCAGATGCTCTGACACGTTTGGGAGAAGCCAGCGGAGGGTCCCCCGAAGTTCACCTGGCCCCAGTCACCTTCCCTGCTCCCCGGGGGTGAGGGCTTTCACCTGCCCCACTTCCCCAAAGCATCGCTAATGTCCCCAGGTCCTGTGTCCCCAGGAGGTGGGCTGTCCCCAGGCCAGCCCCAGGACCCCCTTTTCCACCTCCTTCCCCTGGCTCAGGCTGGAGAAAACCCACATGTCCCGGCCCTGTTTGGCTCGGCTCGCCCCGGCTCCCCGAGCTGCAGCTCCGGTAGAAGCTGCACGAGTGGAACGGGGTGAATTCACTTCCCTCCCAGCACGGGGCTTCCACTGGCCTCGTGGCTCCCAGCCCAGCTCCCAGGCACTGGGCTGCTGCTCCCTGCCCAGCAGCCTCGGCCGCTGCAGTGAACAGGTTCCCTTGCAGAGCTGACACCCCCCAGAAACTGCAGAAAATATCTGACAGCAAGGTGGTGTCTGTCCCTCCTAACACAAGGGGTTTAGTTTCATTGGCCTCGTACAGGAAATCAGAATGAGAAAAAAAAATATTTCTACTGTTTGACACAAAATCTAATAATTCCCCGTGTCTGTAGGGAATGCAAGTTTAGGCACAAATGCTTCTAGAAGATGAATATGCTGTTTGGAAAAAAAGGACTATACATTAGATTTCTCTCACTGAGAACACACAAAATTTCCAGCCTCCCATGTCATGCACTCACGCCAGTCAGCGGAGGCTGTAAAGCTCACCTGCAAACTGAGCAATGCAAAACCCCTCTTCCTAATTCTGTTTGGGTTTTACAAGCTGTCAGTCAGTTGGATAGTGTTAGTTTTATTTGCTTCTTCCAAATTGGTTTTCTTTTTAATGGGAAGAAAGCATTTATATTAATGGAATCCCTGAGCCTCAGCCCTGAAAGGAGAGGCTGAAATGCAATCCCTGAATTTTATATCAGGACATTCGGGGAGCTCTTCTCCATGTTCAGACCAGCAAAAGCGCCGGCAACTTTCAGCCCGTTCTGCCTTTCAGAGCCAAGCACAAAGGCAGAGGGGGATATTTGCATTTTTCCTTTCTTAAATTCAGCAATCCGCTGGGAATTCCCAGGGTGAGAGGAAGAACAGCACCCGTTATTTGCTGGGAGGGAAACGATGAAAAAAAGATCTATAAAATAATGTGTTCAATTACTACAGTTTCTAGACAGTGGTTTTATAACAGCAGCATTATCCTAAAGTCAACAACATTTCTGTCTTTCTGTTCTTATTTTCTTCTTTTTTAGGAATAAAGAGTCTTTTTTAGTCTTTTTTTAGTGTTTTGTAGGAAAATATTATTTCTACTTGAACTGCCAAAATGTTTTGATGTAAAACACTTACCCAGATTTGGTGGGGGTGATTCCAGATCATAAGTCAAGAGAACAGAAACCACAGAATTCTTGAAAACACAAACTCTTGGTTTCTGTTTGGGTGAAGTTTTGTAATCTGTTTTTTAAAATCTCATAATTTTCTAATTACTCTGTAAGCCTCATTGTCGTTGCGCTGTACCTACAGGTTAGCAGCAACAGTTGTCTCTCTATTACATAGTTCTGGAGAAGGAAGAAAAAGCAGCTCCAGACTTTTTCTGCTGAGCCCAGCTCTGGCCTCAGACTTGAGAGCTCAGACCTGAACGAGGCAAATTTCTGCCTTGACTGCAGGAGACACAGCTTCACCCATCTGAAAAATCCCCCAGGAGCAGAGACATGAGCAAATTTGCATGTATCACCCCCACGTTGAAGCTGGTGTGGTGTTTTTACACCAAAAGCCCCATGGTGTCACGCTGTGGGGTTTCTTCCTTCTCTGCCAGAGCTCTTGGACTGGATCTCCTGAAAAAAAGTCTCGCTGTTGAGTGAATATTGCAGCACTAAGGCAGTGTGCGTGTACCCATTATGCTTTGGGCAGGCTTCTGATCACTCGCAGAGAGCAGAAACTGGGTGTGTTTCTTCTCCTCAGGTGCAACGCACGTGTGACAGGAGGGGGAAAAGCTGTAAAGGTGCTTACACAGTGCTGGTGGTTAACAAGGATTTTGCAAATCTAACTCTTCCTGCAAATATTGCCAACACCTGCTCACTTCTGGAGACATCGGTGTCCCACCCTCACTGAGCAAAGGCTGGGAAGCGGGGAGTGACGGGGGGGCGTTATGACAAACACATCCCCCCGCAGCTGCAAAACAGCGAGGGCGATTACAGGGAGAGGCTGGAGACAACGACACGTCACCCTGTTCCAGCAGTGGCGACGTGGCCTTTAGAAAAGGTAAAGAATAAAAGCCTGGACTTTCCAGGTGTCTCCGCCTGACATCTGGTGAGTCCCCGGGGCACCAGGCGCCGTGCCGGGGTGCTGGCAGCCTCCCGGGGCCGGCACAGCTCTCCGGAGGCAGCTGCACCCCCGGCCCCGGCACTGCTGGTCTCTGAGCTACACGCTCTCAAAGATGCTCGATACACTTAAAACCCCGGTACCAATATTCCCCACCATCCCAGAGGAGTGAGAGCCTCAAAGCCCCAGTGCTTTAAAAAGTGTCTCCCCTCCGATTCTTAAACCAGAGATTTCAGCAAAGTGCTTCACTCAGGAGCGTGACCACAGACAGTTGTATATGAAGACACGCGTGTGCACACGCCTCTCGTGTGTGTACACACACACACGGGCTGCATATGGTCAGTCAAGCTTAATTCCTCAGGGTTTGTTTTTTTTTTTTTTTATTTTCTTTCTGACTTCTCTTTGAAATATCCCAATATCTGACTTCTGGTGTTTCATACGCACAACTCTGTCCACAGACAGACAGTGTCAGACTCTGCTATTTTCTGTTGCTTTATCAGCACAGATTTCTGCTTTACATATTTCTACCTTTGCAGTGAATGCTGAAAAATAGCCATGACCTGTCAAAAATAGCTTGCCCACAATCAAAGCCCGTGCCTGCCTAGAGCGATACTGTTTGGATTTCCTAAGGATTGCCAGCCTCCAAAACTGCCATTTTTTCTTTCAGCTTATCAAAGCATTTTTACATTGGTGGGGTTGCTCCTCTAGTAAGAGGGAAGAGTGTATTTCACCACTTTGTTGAACCATAGCATCAAGTTTTGAGGGCTTTTACTTTTAGTTTCAGGTATTTTTTTTGCCTATCTTGATGCTTTTGATGTGAATTTAGCAAAAGACTATTTAAAGTTTAGCTGACAAATTTATTTGTAATCTTGAAGTATTTGATCATCAGAGAGAAAGCGAGAATATAAATAAAAGACACTGGACATTCACATAATCTACAGTTAATTCAATAATTTTTTTACAGAGAACGATATACATATTGTCTTGCCTTTCCTCACAATCAGCTCGCACTATATCTGCAGAAATACACAAATGTGTCACCAGGAAAGCGTGTGCTCGCTCCGGCACGCTCCCAGCAGTGCCCGCAGAACGGCTGGAACAAAACCAGCCGAACCCCCCAGCTGAGAGACCCCCCCGGGAAGGTATTTGGCAACAAGACATCAGGGTGATTTTTGAGACACTTTGCAGTAAAACTGTTGCAAACGCATTTGAAAGAAAAGCATAAGATTCACAACCCAGAGCTGCTAGTGTTCCTGGGTCAAGAAAAAAATCACCTCTTGACCTCGTGATAAAAGTGTAGTTATTTGGTAATAAATACATCTATCCACGGTTTAATGCTTATATGGAAGAATAAAACTAGCAATCTACAAATTTAAAAGATGAGAAGAAGAATTAACATCTGATTTTCATTTTACAAAGGAAAAGGGTTGTTGGTAAATGATTGGCATGTTAAAGAGCATTTCATTTTAGAAAAGTTAACGTAAATTCAAAATAAAGCAAAACATACCGCATCGATGCGCTTTTTAAAAAATATGCTGGAAGAACAGAGTTGTTTTCTACTATGAATTTCTGAAATGATTCACTATTAACATTTCTCCTATAGAAATATAGACATTGTCACACCTTTTACCGTGGATGAGGACTTTATTTTCTCTTAAAAAGGTTTCGGTGTGGATGGGTGATGAAGCAAGTCCTTGCTTTGGAGAATGCACTGACAACAGAAAGCAAAATACCTTATATCAAATCTGTAAAGCACAAGTCTCGGTGTTTAGTAAAGACACAATAACCAGGCTCGTTTGGACGCTCCGTCTGCTAAACCGCTGCGGTGCGACGGCCTCTGCCCGCCGCCCTCCGCTCGCCCGCCGCTGGCTCGCCCTCCGACAGCACGCCCGCTCTCTCCGCGGCGTCACGCCTTCCTGCCCCGCTCCGCAGTCACCACTTGTCCCTCCTTCGTTTCCAAGAGCAGGTGACGTTTAACAGCACCGAGTCCTTTCCCTTCCCACTGCGCGGCGGTGGACCCTGTATCAAAATTGAGCGTGGTCGACTTCATCCAGCCAAGAGGCTGGGCTGGCAGGGAAATCCGGGTATCCCCCGCTGCTGCCGGTGGAGAGGTCGGAGCTGGGTCCGTTCCCGGCCAGGACCCTCATGGACTGGGGGACCCCTTGTCCGCTTTGTCCCATGATGCCCAAACCGTTGTCGGGGTAAACCAAGCTGGAGATTAAAGGCTGGTGGCCTGGCAGTGCTTGCAAGGAAGCTGGTGACTGGGGTATCCCGTAAGGGCTGCTGGAGCGCAGGTCGTGGTACTGGTCCTGAGCTGGGATGCCGCTGGGATCCAGAGCAAAGCTCCCGTTGGTGCCAGCCGGTCTCCCCAGAGCAGGGGACGCTTCATTGAGATTGCTGTAAATCCCATTGGAATGGCTCATTTCGGACATAGAGGGCTCATCTGAAAGGGAAACGGGCTGGGTTTACTGGGAGAGCAATGGTCACGGCTGGCAGCGGTCACAGGGGAACCCCTGCAAGCTCTGGGTATAAATAGATTAGGTGGATGGGAGCTGAGCAGCCACGCACTTGCCACTTGTAATTCCTTATTATTCCCAGCCTTGTTGATAGTTCTTCATAGAAGGCCGTGGGATTATTATTTTTCCTCAGTACAAACATCTAACACAGTTTGGATTTTAAAAATATGCATGAAAAGTACCTATTAAAATATAAGACTGTGATTTAAAAATAATCCTTTAAAGGGGAAATGTGAGTTCAATATATTTTCACCTTTTGTTCTGCATTTCTATTTGGATTTGAGGTTTATCTTGTATTTCGTTATCATTTTTAGGAGCTACCTGAACGCTCACTCACCGATGCAAGAAAAACTCTCCATTGCTCAGAAAAAAAAGATATTAAATCTCAGCAGTATTTGTCTGCTCAGACACAGGCTAATGAAATGTATTTGTATGACCTAAAAACACTTCTGAAAAATGAGCAGTATTTTTTAAGTTACCAGCAAAAATTGTTTGCATTCGTTAGGGGCTTTATGGACAGTGAGAGCTGCTCTGTTGCCTAGGATACAAACCTGTTTGTGGCATCAAGCTATCAATAATTGTTCAACATTTTTTAGTTATTATTTATAGTATATTCATATTTAATGACGCTGAGGCACAGCGTGTATAAACAGACTTGAAAATCAAATCGTTTTTAGGAACACAGGAGAGAAGCTGAGATGCAAAGCTGTGTGTGTATAAACATACGTGCATTATAGACGTGTGTCTGTGTAAATATGTACACAGAGTTTTGCATTCCAGCTTCTCCCCTGTATCCCTAAAACCCACACACAGACCAGATCACGTCGCCAGAGACCCCCCCGCGGTCCTGGGCTGGGGGTTGGGGCTGTGGAGGATGTGCCCCCCGCAGCGCTGCAGGCACCAATGCCCCCAGCCCAGCACGGGGCCACATCCTGCTCCTGCCCCGTTGCTCTGGGCCTGGAGGGTGCGGGGTGAGGCTCTGCAGGACAGGAGCTGATGTAGCCATGTCCCTGGGTTTGTCCGCAGAAATCTCGGCTCCAAAAATGGGACCCTCCGATGCAGGAACCTCCTAACATGCAGCAACCTGCTTTTTGCAGCACAGTGGAGAGGTAACAGCTCCCGCAGAGCTGGGAAGGGAGTCCAAACTAGTAACTATGCAAACAAAACCACGTCTAAATATGATGAAAAAAAAAAAAAAAAAAAAGAAAAAAAATCTACCTACTTTTCCCCAGAGAAATGCTCAGTCATTCCCGACTTTGGGATTTTTTGTATTTTTAAGAGTCCCTTGCAAGGGCTGTATACAAGTAGAGGCTCCAACATCCTCAGTACCTGCCCGGGGAGCTCTCCCTGCTCTCCCTGCACCTTTCTGGGCCTGATCCAGCCCCCCAGAGGGAGAGGAGAATGTTCCCTGCGGTCCCTCCGCCACGGCCCCCCCAGTCCCCCCCCACAGCCCTGCCAGGACCGGGCAGTCGCGGCTGCACTGCTGTAAATCACTTCTCCCACCTTGGGCGCTTGTTTTTTACTCATGATATAAGATTGAAAATTATTAATGGAGCACCGAGGGGGGGAAGCAGCTTTGTAGGGAGGGCACAGACCGCGCTCTGCAAAACCCCGGGTGGAAACGGGGCTTCGGGGACCGACCTGTGAAGGAGACCTCGGCGTCGCTGTCAGGTCCCTCCTCCTGGATGCTGTCCTTGTCAGACTTGGAGGTCCCCCGGGATCGCTTCATGTTCCTGAAGTACTGACCCCACCGCTGCCTCCCAGCATCTTTCTTCAGCCTTTTCTCCTTGGCCCTGCGGTTTTGGAACCAGACCTGCGAGCGGGACAGGAGGGGGAGCTGCCTCTCTGCCGGGCCGGCTCCTTCCCCGCCGCCCCCCGGGCAGACCCGATGGGGGGGCGGCTGAGAGGGGGATGATGAGGGTCTCCCCGTCTCACCTGCACCACCCGCATGTCCAGCCCCGTCTCCGACGAAAGCTGCTCCCGGACGTGCCGCGCCGGTTTGGGCGAGTTGTTATAAGCGTTTTTGAGGGTCTCCAGCTGCTTGGCTGTGATGGTGGTGCGGGGCCGCTTGGCCGTGGACTCAGCCTCTGCCGACACGGTGCGAGTTAGAGGGGAAGTTAGCGTGGGACCCCCCCGTTCTCCCTCCGGCCCCTCCCCGACGGCAGATGCTCCCGGCGCCCCTCCCGCCCGCCGCACCGGAGGGCAGGGGGGCCCCGGGCCGCGTCCCCCTTGCCCTCGGGGGGGGTGGGAGGGCCGAGGCAAGGGGTACCTCTCTGCTTGGCCGTCTCGTAGTCTGCCTTGCAGACCAGCCTGCTGTCCTCCATCAGGTAGAACTCGTCGCCGGTGGCCAGCTGCCGTTTGCAGACGATGCAGGCGAAGCAGTGCAGGTGGTAAACGAAGTCCTGGGCCCGGCGCACCACCTGGGTCGGGGGGATGCCTTGCTGGCAGGCGGCACACTTCGTCCCGAAGCGCCTGAGAGGGAGGAGGGAGTGGGAAAAAGGAGGGGGGACACACAAGGGGACAAGCGGCGGCTGAGCGCGGGAAGGGGGGGGGGGGTGGCCCCGGCCCGGCCCCGCCGCTGTCCGCGGTGCTGAACCCCGGCCCCGCCGCTGTCCGCGGTGCTGAACCCCCACGCGTGTCCCTGCGCGCTGCTGCCCGCCGCGCTGACACCCACCCGCGCCCACCGCGGTCCCGTCCCCACGCACTTGAAGAAGTCCTCCTTGCAGTAGACGCCGTCCCCGCGGCTGAAGCACTTCTCGGCCAGCTGCGTCTGGCAGTCGGAGCATTTCAGGCACTTGCTGTGCCAGTGCCGGTCCAGGACCTTGAGGATGAACCTGTCCACGATGTGCTGGTTGCAGCCGGCGCACAGCGGGATCTCTGTGGGGAGGCAGCCCCCCGTCAACCGCCGCCCCGACGGCCCGGCCCGCCGCCCACGGACTTGCTGTCGCCCGACGGCGGACCCGGGGGGGTGGGCCGGGAAAAGGCCCCGAAAAAAAAAAAAAATTAGTATGCGTTCAAATTCGTTTGCGTGGCGCCGTGTGAGCCTCCCCGCCGCGCCGCGGAGAGCAGCGAAACCCCCGGGCCACGCACAGCGGGGGGAGCGCCCAGGGACACCGAAGAAAACGAGAAGGGAAGTGATGGGGACGGAATTAACCCCGTGGGCTGAGCCGCCGGCAAAGTCGCAATGCAATTATTCCGGGCTCTTTTTGCTTTTCCTACACTTTGAAAATTCACCTGCATATAACGGCGGGGTAGCCCGGACAGAGTGAGAAAATAAACTGCCAAAAATTACGAGAACTGCACTGAAAATAAAAACGCGGTAGGCTTGCCCTGTCGCCCTGCAGATACCGACAGAGGTGATACAGAAAGAGATGATATAAGGACACAGAGAAATAGAGATATAAAAATAAACAGATATCACAGATAGAGAACGAAAATGTACAGATATATAGACATAAATATATTGCTATCAGTATATAGGTATAGATATAGATAGGTAGGTAAAAATGTGGATATAAAGGTACATAAATATAGATATCTCGATATAGATACAGATGGAGAGATATATAGGCACGGCTGTAGAGATAGATGCAGATATAAGAGTACCTATATGTAAAGATAACTATATATAGTGATATAGCGATGTATAGCTGTGCTCAGGGGTAGTGGTAGAGACGATCTCGTTATAGGCATCAATCGTCACCCCAACAATTCACCGCGTCCGAACAAATAACCCCAATAACGGCAGCGCTAAAGGCGGCGGCCCCGGCCCCGGGCGGCCCGGGGAGGACGCGGCTCCGGTACCGGCACCGGCTCCGGCACCGCGGCACAGCCCGGCGCAGCCCCGCCAGGTCCCGGTCCAGCCCGGCCCGCGGTTCTTACGCTGCATGGTGACTCCGCGGGCCGCGGCAGCGCCGCTCCCTCAGGCGGGGCGCGGGCACTGGCGCATCTTCCGCGGGGTGCGGGCGCAGCCCCCGCCGTTCTCCCGCCTCGCCGCTGCCGAGGCCGGCCCGGGGCGCGTTCCCCCACGCCGGCTCTTCCCGGGCCCCCAAATCACGGCGGCAGTTGCCCGACACACCCCAACCCCCCCGGCCGCTGCCACCCCCGCGGCGCCGGAGATTTAATTCCCTAAAGCGGGTTATTTTTAGATGCCGGCCCTCCCTGCCGGTGCCGGGCTGAAGCGCCGGGCTGGGCATCGCGGCGCGTTGTATTTAATCCCCCCCCCGCCTCCGGGGCCGGCGGCACATCCCCTCCCGCCTCCCCTTCCCGGCCGGGCACGGCGGGAGGGCGACGGCTCCGGAGCGCACAGAAACGAAACCGGGGCGGGGGCCACCCCCCGACGGGGCCGAACCGTGGCGGGGGGGGGAGATGGGGGGGGAGGCAGCGCCCGGGGCGGGGAGCCAGCGGCGGCCGCTTCCCCGGGGTCGTTGTTGAACCGCAAACGCCGGGATCTGCCCCCGGGCCCCCGCAAAGCACCGCGCGGCTCGACCCACGCGGCGGCACGAAACTCCCACCGGGCCCAATCCTGCCGCCCTGCCCCAGTCCCCCGCCACGGTAAGCCCCGGTGAGCCCCGCCGCTCCTTCCCTCTGCCTCCCCGGTGGAGCCCGGCCGGAGACCGCGGGACCCATCGCGCCCAGTGGGAAAACGGCGTTTTCGCGTCGTTCCTTCTACCGGGGGGTTCGCTTTCGGCGTTGTCGCCTCCGTCCCCCCCCCGCCCGCCCCGATCGCAAAACCATCTCCTGATTGCTGGCTCAAACGCGCAACTACCGCGGCTGCCATCTCCGCACCGCGGGGGAGAGCCACGGAAAGACAAACCGGGCGCCAAAGCCCGGGGTAGGAGCGGGGGGGGCTGCCGGGCTGCCCGGCCCACGGGGTCGGTCCCGCTACCTGTGACACCTCGGTCCCCGCACACCGGCGGGGCCCCCGACCCGTCTCCTCGTTGTTTTGTTTTTAAGCCCCGTCGATGCTGTCGAGAACTGGGACGGCCCCGAGCAGGGACCGGCCCCGCCGCCCCGGCCCGGGCTCTGCCGCCCCCGGTGAGACCCCCCCGGTGGCCTGGACACCCCGGGGGAGCGAAGCCAGGTTTCCCCCGCCCCGCCAGCGCTGTCTCCGTTCGTTAAACTGGAGGGGAAAAGTAGTTAGGACAGGAATTAACGGGAGTTTTTTCCAAAGCGGGGAAAAAGCCGGATCGGAGCTGGGCGGGCTGGCGCAGGGGGTGCCCACCGTCGGGGTGAAACCGGTGGGCAGAAAATCCCCGTTATGTTCCTGCTCTCGTTGTGCGGGAGCCCCGGGCAGGAGCTGCCGCTCCGCCGTGCCGGGCAGAGCTCCCGCCGGGGGTGGGCAGGGGGTGAGCCCGGGGCAGCCGCCGCTTTCGCCCCCGGAGCGGGAGGGGAGTCCCGGTCCAGACCCGACGGGACTCAAACGGGTTCCTGGAGCGGGCGCGGGGCCGGAGCCGCCGGCGTACGGGGGGCAGCGGGGGGGTCTCTGATGTCGGGGACGGGGCAGGAGAGAGCGAGAGGGAGCGTGGGGCGGGCAGGACGGATCGGGATGGACCCCCCGGTGCCGTCGGGCCGCCCTCCCTCCCCTTGCAGCCTGCCCCGACGGTGCCCCCGGGGAGCGCGTAACGGGCGCGGACCGACTCCCGCGGGTCGCCCCGCTCCCGTCAGGGCTCCCAGAGCCTCCACCGGTGCCTCCGCGGTGGGGACGCGGATGTTTGCGCGCTTCCCCCGTTCCCCTCACCTGGGCTCCGCGGGAAGGGGCAGAGCTCCGCTGCTTTCTCCGAGCCGGCGCGGACCCGCTCCAGCAACATCGCGGGCACGTCGGGCGCCGTCCGAGGTGCGCGGGCGGCTGCGGAGGAGTGGCGGAGCGGCGCGGAGGGGAGCGCAGGGAGCGGCGCGGGGGCTGGCCGCCGGTCGGGGCGGAGCGGGGCCGGGGCGGAGGGGCGGAGCGGGGGCGGCTCCGCGCCGGCGGGTCGGGGCGCAGCTGGGCCGCGGTTCACCGCGGGGCTCTTTAGCATCACAAAAGAGGGGAAGGGGGGGGCGACACTGTCCCCTCACGTCCCACGCGTGGGCTCAGGCTGTAGCCGCTTCCCTCAGGCGCAAAACGGCCCCGGGGTCCCCCGCGAAGCTCCCGACGGCGGCACGCCGTGGGTCGAGGGAGTAGCCGTCGGTGGGAGCCTCCTCCCGGGACCGGCCTCCCCCCGCCCGCCTCCGTGCCCGGATTTCGTTTTTCTCCGCTGCGTGGGTCTTCCCCGACGCCGCCCGTGGGGAGCGGGGGGGGGGGGGGGCTCATCCCCCTCCAGTAATTAGTTAATGAGAGCGGAGAAGTGACGGATGAGGGCTCGCGTGTGACCCACGGCAATCAGCGCCCTGCGGCTGGAGGAGGTTCATTGTATTAATTGACGGGGCGGGCACGGACTCGTGTGTATTCGCATGTGCACGCGGCGTGTGTGCAGGAGCACGCGTGTGCACGGAGGGGTGCAGGGGCGTGCACACGAGGGTTCTGCACGCGTGGCTGTGAGTGAGGGGGGAGCGTGCCAGCGTGGGTGTGCCCGCAGGTCCGTGCAGTTTCCCGTGTGCGTGTGCCTCCGCCCGCACCCGCGTGGTTTTGCTCCGTTCCGCGGGTGCTCGTGTCTCGGCGTGCGTGGAGGTGTTGGGGTGTGAGCAGAGGGTGCGTGTGGCGGGGTGGCCGGCGGGGGGGACAACCCCGGGCGTGTGTGCGCTGCTTGCTCCAGGCAGCCGGAGCTGATAATTATGGTTGTTACTGTGAGCCCGTTAATCCCCCGAATCCCTTTACCTCCTGCTCGCAGGGGATTACAAATTAATAAAAGCAGCTTAGGGGCGGGAGCCTCCAAACACACATATGTTCCTGCACGGGGACTTTCGCCCGCCCGTGGGGGCAGCCGGGGAGCACCCAGGGCTGAGCACCCACCCTGTGGCACCCGTGTTGGCCCCGTGATGCTGCTGAGCACCCCTGGGCGCCCGGTTGCTTTCATGCCTGCTCAGGATCCTGCACGGTGCGGGGCCCGACGGCTGGCTCAGGAGTGTCCCCTCAGATGGTTCCCCTGGCTGGGGAGGGGTCAGACCCATATGACTGGAAAATAGTGCAGGGAGATATTTTGGGGACCAGGATCTGGTGTCCCCAACTAAAGTACCTAGAAATGCCAGGCTGGAGGAGAGCTGGGGCAGGGGTAGAGCACTGGTGGAGCATCACCAGTACGGCGCTGCAGTAATGCTGGTACCACCAGCACCGACAGCACTGGGGCAGCTCGACCCTCCCCAGGGCCATGAACACCTTTGAGAGGAGGGGGGCACCCCAGCTGGTCTTTTTTAAGCTCAGTTTTATAAGTAGATTTTTAGTCTGATCCTCTAAGGAAGCAATTTAAGAAAGTGTACGTGTGGTGGTGGCTGTTGCCCAGCACTCGGGGCACGGTCGTGGCGGTTGTGGCTCTGCAGGATGGAGGGCACTGGCCGCTGGCCCACTCAGGTCACTCACACTGTGGCAGCATCTCCGGGGTTCTCACAAAAAGCCCCTTTGGCCACACTACACCCACGCCTGTACCCTCCTGCCCAGGCACCAGACCCTGCCCATCATCGTCCTCATTGTGGTTCTGCCACCATTAGAGAAAAAAACAAAACAAAACAAAACAAACAAACCAAAAACAACAAACCCACACATATTTATTCCCATTTTTTCTCTCTCTTCTCTGGTTCAGCAGGTCACTTATCAGCCCCTGAGAAATCTGGGCTTAAACAATATTCCCCTCCCTGTTCCCTTCTGTGGACAGACCCGGGGGCTGCACCCTCCTCCTGCCAGAGGAATTTGGGCCGGTTTGTGCACGACACCCCTGGTCCCCACCACCTTGCTGAACAGTCCAGAGTCCAGAGGGGACTTCCCAGGACAACCCTTAGCACCTCGCTAAGAGGAGGCAGCAGATGTATTAACTTTGGGTGGTAGGGACAGGACACTGCCCCCCCTTGCCCCAGTAGGGACAATGTTTGAGGGTGAACACAGGAGATTTGGGCGAGGAGCTCATTCCCCAGGGGAACGTCGCTGCTCTCCAGGAAAGGCCACAGGCCAGGAAGGAAACGCAGGTTTCTCTGGAGAAGTGGGTTGCAGTGCCCAACTTCAAAGAACGAACCTTATCTATAGGTTTAGAAATCTTCCTGGTTTCTACTAATCTTTTGGAGTATGTCTGCAGGTAGGTAATATATATTTTTAGTGAGTCATCTGTCCCCACTTCTCAGCGGCACCGTGGATGGTGCAGCCAGATTCAGAAGGAGCTCAGCAGCATCCCGGCCAGGGGAGATGTTAAGGCTTAAGGGGAGGGAAGATTTGTGTGTGTGTGTGTCTATATAGAATTAGTGCAAGTCTTCGGTCAGAAACCAAAAAGTTTTCCACCACTCCTGCAAATACTCACTGATATTTTATGAAGTTATGGGATAACAGTGAAAGAAACTCAGTAAAAGTTTCCCCCCTCCTGGTACTTTTCAAAATTAAATTACCTGCATAAAATGACCAATACAGTGTGAAATGGAGTTGTATACAAGCTATCCTTGCAGTAGTTTAGCTAAAAAGAACTGGAAAAGACAGGTGAAAAGCCAAAACGCACCACTTTGCCCAAATGTTTGCAATTTATTTTAAACAAGCACATTAGTTTACAATTTAGTACAAAACAGTCACTTTTCCTTCCTAGAGAGGTATGAGACAGTAAAAAAACCACAACAGAACAGACTCAAAAACGTCAAGTTATGGAATTAAAATAAATAGAACATTTAAATTACTGAAACGGTATATTCACTATTTTTAACACCTCATATGCAACGCACTGACCTAGACAACACACTTTGGACCTCTTGCTAAGACAGCAGTTCCCATCTGGTTCTGAGCAGGACTAGCAGGGTGGCGACACTGCTGGAAATTTAAAATTAAGAGTTCTCAGGAATAACTTAATTAGGTTTCTTTAGCACTTGCAGCTTTACTTTCTCTCCTGGCACATTCCACAGTACTCCTTTTATTTTCTATGCAGGTTTAATAATTCCTCTTTAAAAACATCCAAAGAGCAAAAAAGGCTCCATGAATTATAAAGGGTCAAGAAATCCTTCTCAGAAATGACTACCACCAGTCCACAAATGAAAGTGGCATCCAGAAACTTCTGTGGTACAACACAATACACAAATGAAACCTTCAGGACTGAGGAAATGGTGGTTTGAGGCAATTTTTAAACAGGAAACACTTTCTTGTAACTCACCCACTGATAACACACCACGGCAAAGCAGCATCACACACTCCCCAGCAGACATAATGTATCTTTACAGTCAGAGTACATAAAAGTATATAATTTGTCATTATAAAGACTGAAAACAAGTAAACCAAGAGTTACATAACTGAATGAAAAAACAAGAAAACTTTTCCAGGTGAGGTCACTACTAGCATTAAAATGAAAGTCTTAACCAGTTAACTGGCAACAGAGTTAGAACACCAACATGGGTAGCCAACATCGGAATCTAATCCTTTCACACTCTTAAACAAAAAAAGAAGATGGGAGGTTTGAGTATTGGTTCGTCATGTTTCCAGTAGAGTCACAGCAACATGAAAGTTAATGGCGTGTAGCCAAAAAAATACCCTATTACAAAACCACATTTGCTGCTGTTTTAATGGCAAAATCATCCCTACAAACCTTCAAAACCTTTTGTTCTCATATGCAGATGAAAACAAGCAGAATGAGTCAAAGTTAACAAACTCTGGTCTATATATGTGGTAAAGTTCTGAACAGCAGCATTAATGACTGATTTTTAACTTTAAAATGTGCAACAATACTGACAGCAGGGGATTCAAGAGTCCCACAGAAACTGGTTAAATTTTTCAGATCCAACACTTGCTCTGCTGCTGGTTTAGTGTTTGGGTTTGTTTGTGAGGTTTTCTGAGAAGCTAAATGTCCTTGGCTTGTTGGCTGATACCAACATCTCCCCAGATTAGGTCACTTAAAAGTTGCCTGATTTCAAAACTAAATTTGGAAACTCTGGGCTTTCCTCTTAACAAGCCTCCTCCTGGGACCCCTCACTAGATTCCAGCACAAAGCAAGTGGCAGCAATGAGCCAGCCTGGACCACCTTCTCCCTCTGGTTCTCCAGCTTTCTAGTTGCTTCCAAGTTGTTTTAATATTCGAGCCCAGGTGCTATAATTATAGAGACTCTTATAAATTCCTAAAAAACCCAGACCCCTGATTGCTCCTTGTGCCAGAACTCTTGAACAGTGAGGGCCCTTGAAAAGCACAGCCCGACTCAATGTCGCAGCCTTAACATCAGAATTAAAGAGAGTTTTCCCGTTAGCCCAGAGGCCGGAGAGTTGCCCGCAGGTGCTCCCAGCAGCAGCGGAGGCAGCACACGGCAGGAGCGGGGCCCCAGCTTCAGCAGAGCCAAGTTTCTCACATCGGAGCAAGAGCCATCGGGTGCTTACAACAAACAGCAAAGGTGGCTTAAAAAAGCCGCAGATAATGCGCCTCTATGTGTGTCAGGCTGTCATGTGAATGGAGATTTTTTTTTTCCCCCCTCTGGCAAGTTTACAATAACCACAGAGGTTATTACTTTATGCGTATATTATTTTGATAAACTTAAGGAACAAGGGACAGCAAATCTTTGAAGCTCAGTTTTGTTACTCCAGTTGGAAGCTGCAGAAACTCATGTCAGAAATGTTCAGTTCTGTCAACAAACAAGATTTGATTATTAAAAAAATACCTCTGTTGAGTTTTTGTGCTTTTAGACCATTCCTGTTGCTAGGCTTTAAACTTTTTATGCTAGGGCTTATGATGGAAATAAGAGGAGGACACACTAACAGTATAAATACAGTGAATTGGCCAGGGACTATTTATTCCTTCTCGCATAACAGAAGAGCTAGCAAACATTCAATTAAATTAAAAGTTGCAAATGTAGAATTGAAAGGAAAAGCCTTTTTATATAACATAATTAATCTGTAGAACTCACTGCCACAAGAAAACACTGAGGCCAAAACCTATTAGGATTAACTAAAGATTAGGTAATGGATAACTAGAACATGCTCAATTACATTGGATAGGATTATAAACTTCACTATCCAGGACGTGAATTATCCCCCACAGCTAGGATCAGAAAGGAACTCCTATTCCAAATGCTAATTTTATAACTGTTTTCATGGTTTCTTCTAATTGCTGCCAGCCAGGACCCCAGCCAGCCTGCCCTGGAAAGGCAACCACCATATTCCCAACTGCTGCCGCGTCCCAGAACAGAGCAGCCCTCAGACTAACCATTAGTGAAATCCCTCCGGACCCAAAGCGAGGAGCACTCCAGCAGAAGGGCAAGAGAAATGGGCTGTTCCTCCAAGGCTGTACAGACAACTGCATGGCTAGCAGGTGACACACTCTGAGAGCTCAGAACTGGAAATATCAAGTGTTTGCTCCACCTTACAAGAAGAAAATGGCTATATTGTAAAGGAGTTATCCAGCATCGGAAGAAACTTCGCATTTCCAGGTGGCATGCTGATGCAAATCTCACTGTCCTTCACTGAAAACACAGCTTCCCTTTACTAGAGTTCATCAGAATTGGCTTCCATCTGGATAACACAACAATTACTGGAGCTACTTTTCTGGCTCATAAAAGAGTGAGGCGAGTTATCTAATGCTCCATTAACACATCCAATAGAGCAGCAAGTACATCACTGGGTCTGAGTCTGTCCTTGCTTACGTCTAAACTCCATTAAAATGGATGACAGCATGAGTGATCAGAATCAGGCTGCTTATTGAGATCCAAACTGCCCCAAAACTCTCATCCTAGGAGACGCACACACACTTGGCTGGAACGTACAAGAGCATGGAAGACTTATTTGAACATGTAATGCTTTCTACTTAAATATGCAGTGTAAGTAATATTTCAGAAAGTCACATAGATTTAGAATTGATTTAATCAGAATAGAACTCTTGTTTCCTGAACAAAAAAAAAAAAAATCAGAATTCTTGCTTCTCTAAATGAAGCAGCCAAGGTAACAGCATAACCGTTCAGTACTCTGGTAGGTAAAATCAGCTCTGGATAAATTAAAAAACAAAAACGAAAGCCAAACCTGACCTGAAGTACACAAAACAATATCCAATTTCCTTCTAAACCAGGCACAGTTGATTGCATAATGCAATGTTTACTCTGAAAATGAGTAAACGATGTAGGTGGTAAGTCATGGAAAAAATCTTACTGAAAAATGCAATGCTTCCTTCAGTGGACATTTATGAGAGCACTGTGTGCCTCAGCTAAAGATTCGGGTTGTTTTGGCGAGTTCCATATATTCAGCTAGAACACTTGTGAAATGACTTGGGAAGAAAGGGTTCTGAAACAAGGAATACTGTATATAAAATCCCTGATCATAAATATTAAAGCTGTATCTGGTACTGAACAGCCATGTACAATGAAAATTTTGATTTACACTTCTATACAGATGAACGATAATACTTCACTTTCCACCGTTTAGATCTCATTCGGAAAAAAAAGTACATTATCATTAAAAATAAGGATGACGCTACATACAGTATGACACACAGACTCATGTCTATATTTGAAAATCCAATCCCCAGGAAAGACATGGCCTGCTTTGTCTCTTTAAGGTTAGCTGATCCAACTGCGCTTTTACCGCTATCTTTGACAGGTCCATGTTTTGCTATTAGCTTATCTAACACCTTAGATTCTGAATCTAGTATGTTTTCTTTATCCTGGATCTTATTTTCGCTGTTTCCACTTGGTTTCTTCAGCAGGCTTTTGTCTTGGGCCTCCCTTGCATCTCCCTGCTCAGTTTCACTGGAGTCAGTCTGGCTTGCAGTGTATTTATATAGAATATTTTCACTGTTATAGTGATACTTCATGAACTGTAGAACTTGGGCTTCATTCCAGCTGTGTAATCCTTTAATTTCTTCATGACATGCAGGACAAATGTCTGGAGTTGGCCACTGAACTTTTGGAAATTTTGGATCTTCAGTCAAATCACCTAATTGGGACAAGAAAAAAATTAAATTATCAGAAGTGAATGAACTAGGAAATCTGAACCATCAAACACTTCACTGGAAATCACAGAGAGTATTTTCCACTTATAGTAAGGTTGGCAAAAAAAGCCCAGAGCACAATAATGTTTGTATTAAACTGAAGACAATCAAGAACAAATTTGGAAATTCTTAAGTTTCCTTATGGAAGCATCAATTACCTTCTGAAGTATTGCTTCCTCTTTCAAAATACAAACACTAAATCATAACTATTTTCATTTTCTCTCAGTAAAAGCTGTAGCATTCAAATTCTAATACAACAAGATACTACAACTGCTATGTTTTTAGAAGGCATGAAAACACCACCATCTGGGCCTTTCAGGGGTTAATTTGAATTATGGTTCAAAACAAACTGCTCTTTTGCACGCAATACTCTTTAATCCTGAAGCTTGGTTTGCAGCAAGCAGTTTCAAGGCCAAAGACTTGCAGATATTTTCACGTTTCTATATTGTGAACCACTCCATCCTAAGCTTGGTTTTTCACAGCATGCATCAATTCTATAGCAAACATTTTTCAGTGCTTTAAAAAACACTATATATTTAAGATGTATTTTTCAGCTTGCTTTTTAGCATTTAACCATATAATACTGTATTGAACTAGCTCCTATTTTAACATTTCAGTTGCTCATAGCTCTGGCCACCTTTCTGTCTTGATGGCAGAGCTGAACACTGTAGCTAGTGTTGCATTTTGCTCTAAAAAATATCTTTTTTTAATAAAATGTGGATGAAGATAAGTTTTAGAACAAAAATCTATCTGGTAAAAAAGCTTATTTATTTAGCTGATTCTTATTAGTACACTAACACTTAAAAGATTTCAGAAATAAATACAGATTCTTATTTTATTATTATTTTTATCCTTTCTAAAGGCAAGAAACTTCCCCGTGATTTTGAGAAAAATATTGTTTAGGGATTCAAAGAATGCTTAAAAATATTTGTCACCTTGATATTAACAAGAGAGCAAGTTAACATTTCAGGTATCTTTAGATAAAGATCACTCAGTAATCAATTTGTTTCAGTAGCGAAAGCAGAAAGTAAACATTTTATGGTAAGATTACAAACAGAAAAGTTGCTGTACTTCGTGTTTTCCTGCCAAAAAGAAGAATGCTATAAATTCTGTACATTCTAAAGCAACAGCAAAGAATTAAATAGGGCAGAGACACATACAACAATCCCGTGACCTGCACTTGAAGGCTGTGCCAAGGTGTTTTCATTGACCAGTCAAACATTATTTCTCATTGAAAGCTATATATATTACCAGAAACACAGATGCAGCTTTTAGGAATTAAAATAAGTCACTGTCCCATAGAGAAGTTTTAGTGAACTTAAAAAGCATAATTTAATATTATTATTTATACTTCTCACTAAAAGGGTATTTTAGACGGCTGTTGCATCACCTAAATCAATATCCATGTGACTTTTCCAATAACTTAATGTTCTAAATAAGTATATTGCTCCACTACTTGGCAACTTCAAGTTAACAAGATGACTTTTTTTTTCCATATGTTCAAGCAGGCAATAGTAACGTTAGGAGATGTTTCTATTTAATACCTCGTCATTTACTTATTTCTCCTTGGAGAAAGGAGACAAATTGTTTATGCTGACAACAGTATTTAATACTTCATAAATCTTGGGAATTCAGCATAACTATAATATTAATACAATATAGCATATTTAAATTGTAACTAATGCTACATTACACAGATCCATAACAGCAGAGAGGATTAAGTGCAAAGAGAAACCAATTTTCTTTAGTGCTTCAGTTACTTGATATCCCCATAACAGAACGGATTAAATACAACCAGTGTTTTAACGGTACTTTTAGTCTAACTGAAAACATAGCAATCTAGTGGGGGAACAAATTTTCTTCATACGGTAATTTTATTTTATTCAGTTGCTGATCTGCTAATAGTTTAGGCTCTTTTATCATGAGAGAGTCTCCTATTCAATGATCATGATTTTCTCCCCAGCATTTCTCCAGAACAAAATGAAGACAGGTTTTAACACCTATCTAAACTGTTACAGAAAGAAATTTAATTATTTTTTATCTACTGATAAGTAGCTGAACTATACTGTGCTTTTTTGAAAAGACTTTGATTTATACTCCAGAAAGATCCTCTCATCAAGCAACGGGTGAAATTTCAGAAGAAACGGTATCTTTGAGAATGATGATGTTTTTTCATTATACAGCATAAGAGACAACTATGTTACAGGAGGTCAGTGAATCTCAGGCGTATGTTTCTCACTCCCGTGAAGCCTAGTGTGCCGGTCTTTAAGAGTTCTAGTTGATTGGGATGCTCTAGGTTTTGCTCTGTGCACAGGTATCCTTTCTCATACACCTACGTAAGTGTGGAATGAGTCTTTTGAAATCAGTATTTAAGAAAGGAACGTCAGGCTGGAACAACTATTACTGTTGTTTTAACTGAGGTCACAGAGCCCAGCTTGTGCATCTTCGTTCAAGCACTAGCCACGTTGTACAAAACACCACAGCCTTGGCTTTCAGACACAGCTACCTTCAGTGGGTTTTCCTAAGGTTTTCCATACCTGCGAGCCTGTTATTCACCACATTGTGTTTCTCCCAGAGCCAGAGAACAGCCTTGTCTAAGGTTTTAACGGAATCCATGGACTCTTTAGCCATTTCTTCAAAATGCTGAGCACAAGCCTTGCATCCAAAGAAGTGGTGAATGTATCTCCGCATGACCTGAAGTACTATTTGGGGATTGTCTTCAAGACCTAGGAAGACAGATGACAGATGTATTTAGCACCATCTGGACAGGCAGAGCTTCAACATAGGCACTTTAACGTACATAAAAGTGAACCGTGGGAAAAGGCAAGAAAATGTTGCTACCTTCTTGTTCCATGAGAATTTACACCTCCAGAGATAAGAAACTAGCCACCTTTATAATTTAAAGATATGCATAGCACATGTGTCATCATACAGAACCTATACTTCAGTAAGTCACAAAGACATTAGAGGGATTAGAAGCTTCACACAGTTCTTAGAAGAAATACCCCTCCCCAACAAAATATGCATCTAATATTGTCACAAAATAGTTGAGGTGAGACATTTAGAAACTGAATTATTTGGCAGTAAGTTGAGTTTCAATTGATCCCAAACGGCACGTTTCAAAATGTGGTTTGTCTGGGATATCAGACACAACTGCAAGAGGATTATTTCAAACATACTAAGGTTCAAAAATTGCTAGGTGAGCAATAGTGTTATTAAAAATGCAAAGTAGCTATTTATATCAATACATACCAACACGTTTTGTCTATACAGTTGTGTTCAGTTATCCTGAATAACACATTAAAATAAGAGTTAAAGGTCAAGTGTTCTTTACAGTGAAATTTCTCCTTTCAAATGACATCCCGCAGTTTGAGGGGGGAACAAACTTAGCTAAATGAAAATCAGACATTAAATTTTTTTTTCAGAAGCCCATTATCAGAGTACATTTTGAAACTGTCGAAATATGCAAAGTCCATGCTGTCTACACTTCACACAATTCTTCTGGAAGTAGAAGATATTTCTCCAATATCTTGACCAATAACTGAGTATTTACATTATGCATTCACCACTACATTTATGCTCAGGCATTAAAGTTATGGTGACCTTGTTACTGAAAAAAACAAAAGTCAAAAAGTCTCTGATAGGTATTTCACAAGGTGCCTGTGATACCTGTTTGTTACTCCACAACTCCGAGGTATTACAGCATACCAGAATCTCATTACAGTTATTAATTCTATGGCTTTGTTGGCAGGCACTGAATGCATACACATAATAGCTACTTTGCAACATCTGAACTTCCAAGAGTAACTCAGGAATTCCTCCTAAAATAAATATAAACACGTTATTCTTTCTGTAACATTCACGCTTTTACAGTAAAGGTAATGCAAAAGAATAATTATTTTATTCAGAAGTAAGCCAAGGTCTTTACAGACTGAGAACTTTGTCCTGAGCCTTTATTGTGACAGCAGGTAGTCCCTACATCTATAATTGGCTTGAAAATCTGATATAATTCATTGAAATCCTAATGGTTTCATCTCCGTCTCACAGATTTTCTGATTCATGCTTAATTGACCCAGTAAATTATGCCAAAATGTATTTACAAATGTACTATATGTTACCACGAACACACACTTGTCAAACGAAACAGATTTTATGATGCAGATTGATCAAATTACTGACTCCTGCAGTTGAACTTCTCTACCACAAGTAATTTACAATGCAGGTTTTGTAAATTCTGTAGTAAAGAGACACGGTGCTTTGCTCACTGTCCTATTCTGGTAGTGAGTGAGTAATAAACAGTTTGGTAGCACAGATGCCCTCTGTACATGCATTACTTTTTGGAAGAAAAGAATCCTCAACAAAACCTACTCAAAACTATCAGAGTATTTATCTGTTATGTATATAAGAAATTAACGAAGACTGTCATAAGCACCTTTATTATAATGACAACATTATAGTCTTAAACATGGCAGCAAAAAAAAGTCTTTATAGCCAGAAAGAAATAATAAAAAGAAAACAATCTCTACTCAGACATTCAATATCTGTGATTGAATAAGCATGTATAAATAAAAGCTGTGAGATTAAAGCAGATTAAATTACAGTATTAAAAAAGAAAGGCTGAAAAATAATTTTGGAAAGTTGAAACAAATTTCAGGCAAAATCATTTTACCACATATACTAAAATATATATTTAGAAAAAAAAAAAACACACAAGAAAAGTAACTACTAGCAAATAACCTCTTTATGACGGAACAGAGATTCATACACAAATTTAATTACAGCCTTTCTCCTGCGTAATGTTACGCTCTTGAAAATTCATTTTGTGGCAAGGTCTTTCAAATTCAGGAACAGATTAGAAAGAATCCAGATAATTTTTTTTTTATAAAATTCTCCAAGCCTGTCTTAAACACACCAATAGATCCTATTACCTAAAATCACATCTTATATAATTAAGCACGCTCAGGACTAGATTTCTACAATGATTTTCTACACCCTCAGAGGTGAGTAGCTCTGTTCAGAGTTCCTTTGGATTCCCTTATGCTGATCCCACTGCAGGTTCAAATTACACCATTCAACATTAAAATGTGTCAAATATAAACCAGTAAAAACATTATATCAAGAAAGCCATAGCAAGTTCACACTGACTGCCAGATTCTGCAAGTAAACTATCAAGAAAAATGCAGCTGCTTTAAAAAGAAAACAAACAATTGCAAAATGGCTCATTTTGTTTGTTTTTATCAGCCCAGAGATGAATCTTCTATTAACATCTGCCATGTATCATCATGTAATCCTCCTTTTCTCTTTCCTCCCAAACTACTGCAATTCAGGGTAACCCTAATCTTTAAAGTGGACAAGAACCATAAAACCCTACCTGTGGTGGGAAGGATTAGGGAGTACATCATGCTTTTTAGTAGATGGGATTTAAACAAGCAATAAGGAGAGGAAAACCTCCCAAGACATAATCCGACAGTCTCAGACTGACCCAATTCTTTTGCCATAAGAAGTGATCATCACATATCTGTCCCGATTTAAATCGATGGTTAAGTGTGCCAAAGAGTTTTCAGGTTCTACAATGTATTTTTAACTTCAGAGTGACCAGAACTCACGTTTGAAATGTGAGAGCAATTTAACATGCAATTTTGTATAGTTAAATATTAAGAACATCTTTACATTTAATTATAACATTTTTGGCAATTGGGACAAAAGAGGAAATTTAACGTATGCACGATCCTGTTGAACAGCTAATATATCATCCAGTACAAAAAAACCCAAACTCACCAGGCAGAGAACGGTACTAAATTAAAAGGATTCAACCTACTACCACATGAATAACAAGCAAAACAAGGCAAAATAAGGAAATAAAAATCAACCACAGGATGATTAGCTATCCAAAAAAAAACCTATTCTGCTGGAGATTGAATATTGAGAATTGAGAAATTTGCACTGTGATTGCAAGTAATGCTGGACAAATGTATGTATCCATAATTTGAAATTATCAAATATATTTTTTTAACATACAATCAGCAACTGACAGATTGCAAATTTCTGAGTTTCATCATCTAGTAGCAGTCCATCTAGCATTCTCATATTCCTTGAAAAAGGCATTAAAAAGGCTTTAAATGGAAACTAAATAGAACTGTAACAAAACAAAGGACTGTCCTGGCATGAATAAAAACAAATGAAGGCCAATATTTTAGCATTAGTAATTCTATTTCCATTGTGCAAGGAAATTAGATTATATCTATCATGTTTCTTAAACAGAAATTATCACCATAATATTAACACTCTGCTTCACAGGATGCCGCAAGCCTAAAAATAAGCAATTTGGCAAAGTGCTTGCGAAGTATTATATCACTGCACAGATTAATGGACACTAGGTGCATTCTGCTGAAAAAAACCCCAAACAGTCATAACATTCAGTATTTAAGAAATAACATTATAGGATTGGCTAATGGTTGTACATCTTTCATAGCTACTAAACTGCATGGTTAAATCTCATTCTTCTCAAATTAACTCATCAGTGCAACCTCAGGTAACCTGAACAATATTCATCCCTTTTCAGGTAGATCTAAATTGCTTTTTCTGAAATTCTCTCCTCTTTCTGCATTATTGCTCACATCTTTAGGGCCACATACTTTATTTACCACATTTCTAAGCGAGGACAAGCTGCCACGCTTGCTTTCCAAGCCTTCCCTCTGCAGTAAAGCTCCGCTCTGACCCCTGCCGGTACGGACCCGAAAGATGAGCCTCCAAAGCCACTGTCCTCCACCAATGTATTAGCCGAACATTTACACACCAAAAAATTCGCTCTAATCCGTTACTTTTTCTATTGCATAGCAGAATTGCTGCACATATTTGTCTTGTCCTTCAAGCGTCTCCCATAGCTGCTGCTTACCTGTATTTATCAACGCTTTTGGTCGCAGCGCAGCTTGAACAGTTAGGGTATGAAACAGCTTCCAAAGGGAACAGGTATAACCTCTCAGCTCCGGTCTGCTGCCCTGACATCCGACCCACTGAACTTTCTTAGTGAGAAATATCCCAGAAATCTGAAAAAAAAAAAAAGTGTATTTAATGTATATGCAGCTCTGGGACCTATACATACTACTGAACATAACAGCAGTCACAGCTGATCCTACCCTGAAATTGAGTTGATCCATGGATAAACAATAGTAAATGACACTCTCTGCCATTGTTGCTAAGGAATTCATGCTTAAGGCAAACAAATTTTAATCTTGTAACAATCCTTACATCTGAGACACTCTGTTGCACTGTTATAAAGCTCATCCCCCTTGCAAACGTATTACATGATAAACAACTTACAGTCACTAATGTCAAACCTAGTAAAATGCACATCACAAATGTCTAATTAGCCTGACAGCATACATTAAGTAGCTTAACTTGTAAATTTTTTTTAAGCACAACACACACACAAATACTACCGCAAACTGACAGAGCTACAGTTTCCCTCAACACATGAAAAATTCCATATTACTCAGCAAGATTTACATGAATTGCAGTGGTAAAGTCTTTACAGGCTAAGATGTAGAATTCACTATTATCTCTTTTTAAAACAAAACTATTACTCCTTTATACCTAAAATACAGTGCAAGATTTTAGTTTTGGAGATGTATCTCTCTGCTTCCTAAAACACACAGGAGGTTTCCAAATTTCAGATAGCAATCCCATTTTCACAGGAAGAAAGACTCATATTAACCTCTGTACAAAGATGGCCCTATCACAGGGCTTTGCGTTACCGAAGTGAGATGGGATCCTAGCAAGGCCTTTACTGTGCCAGGAAATTAAAGAATATTTGGGGAAACTCTTCAGGAATAATGCCCATTTCAGTCAGAATATCTCCCATCAGTTGAATTCTGACCTTCAAGTGAATCCTGCTGATAGCAGGCATAGCAAGCAAAGGCAACTCAAAAATATCCGCTGGGAATCTTGCATCATTTGAAGCTGACGTTAGAGAACGTGTGTATCTTAGCGAATGCTTGCTCATTATAAAACTGAGACAGGACTGTGTACTTCAATTCTCCCATTTCAATTCCTTCATGTAGATTTTTTTTTTCTGGTAATGATTTCACTTTATTTTCATTCTAACCTTTTTAGAGCTCTATTATGACTGAGGGACGATCAGTAAGTGATGTCTTAGATTTATATAGAATCTTATCCTTTACTAATGCTGTATTTTATGCTGGAAACTGGTAACAGCTTACCCGCATTTTGTTGTTGACCAGATCTAGGATAGCATCATAAGGGATTTTGTCTAATGGAAGGCTCACCAGCCACTCTTGCAAGGTCTCTAACAACTTTACCACAGGCTGACGGCCAGGAAAAAGCTGGGGGGAAAAAAAAACAAAACCACCCATATTTTAAAGCACAAATCTCATTAGCAGCAAGACACTTATCTTTATCTAAATGTGATTCTCCTGTCTTTAAAATATTTCAGTTTTTCTTTCGTTATGAATTAATTACTTGTTCTGCTTTCAATAAGAAGCCATCTTGCACTAACTTCTGCTTACAAAATGTAAAAAGTTGCACGCACAAAATGTTAACCAGTAAAACGAAGTTGCTCAATAGCAGGCAGAAATGCTACAGAACAACTTTTGAACACGTTACGTAGAATTTCACATTAAGGTAATTCAGTTCAGTGTATAGGTCTTACCCTCCTTTCCAAGCTAAGTGAATCAGAGAGGCTGAAATCCTTCTCACTCTTAGAAGACTAATCACAAAAATTAGTTCTTATAAAACTTTTGTTCAGATTTCTGTAAACGTAGAAGCTGGTTATCTAGAAGAGCATTTTCCTTTTCATATGTGTAATAGTAATTTCTGAAGCAATTTGGAAATAGTGACTTCCTTAACTTGCAACTTAAAGAAGTTATAGTCTGGCAGTCAAGCCACTGTAGAACAGTGGTAATGCCATTATTTTACACTAGAAATGGTATTTGCTTTAACAACGGTTTTAATTACTATAGAATTAAGTAGAGTACGCACATCACCCTCTAAATACCCTTCCAGAGGGAGCAGTATTTCACCATATGGGGAAATAAAGTCCCTGTATCTGCTACAGTAAATACATAAAGCAATTTATGACATAACATGCTATACATATACGAGTCATTCTGCAGCTGTTGTCCAACTATCAATAGTATCTCGATTCATTGACCACTTATATTTGATACCATGCCAACTTAACAGGCAGGAACTCTCTTTTGCTAATTGCCTGTATTGTAACTAACACAAGGGACCTTATGCATTGTTTGGCTTCAGAGACAGCTCTTGTATAGTCTGTAAAAAAACTCAGCACACCTCTGAACTACTGACTGCAGGCTAGATTTACATTTACTTCTGTAGGACCCCCAGAATATCATGTATTACTACATAATGGCAATAGTTGCACAGTATCTCAGGAAGGTCTCATCAAGGATTCAAAAAACAATGGACTTCCACACTGATTGCCAAAATACCTAATTCTACAACAATGGAAATTCCCCAAGGAGGGAACCAGAGACCTCTGTGATTTAGGATTTATCATCACTATAAATGCTGCTAGACAGGAGAATAGTACAAAAAGCTCCCTAATGGAAATACCTGAGAATCATGAACGATAAGTACTGAGGAAAGTGTTACACAACAAGAAAATATATGCAGATAAAGGACTGCAGTCGCCACTTGCGTACTAGCAGTCTGGAGATGAGCATGCAACTAGAAGAGAGCATTCCCCATTTAAGCACTAATAGCCAGGAAAGCAAATGACATCAGCTGGCCAGGAGCCATCAGGAAGAACAGAGGATATTTTAGGGATAATATGATGGAAAGATTACCACTACACTTTCTTAAAGAAATGAGGCCAGCCAGAGATTTCTGACCTCTGATGGCCATGGGGGGGAAGAAACTGTCTGATTTTCAGATAAATCCAGATGTTTGGAAATTGTTTATATAGGCCTTATTATTCAATTGCATAGCTACTGTCTCACTTTCTTTAAAATAAAAGAAAGTGTTAGATGCTCAGCAAGTAAATATAAAGAGACATCGATCATTTCAGTAGGCTGATATTATAAAGTTAAATTATTTCAATTTTTTTCAAGTTGCATCACATTACATATATTGTCCCCCTTCACTCACATATACTATGTAAGCATCTTTATTTTTGAAATACTTATACGCAATACCTCAATTATTTTGAAATACCCAATTAAATTCAATACCTCAATTACATTCAAAATTTAGACAGAAGTTACTAGTTTCTCTAAATAGAGCACCATTTGTCAAGTATGCATTAATGAAATCCGAAAGTCAAGAAAGAAAAACAAAGGGTTTTTTTAACCCCACTCAGTTACAATAGCTACTTATCGTGAAAATCTGATAAATGGACTATATTTACATTATTTGTTCAATATGCTGCAGACTACTAAAGCTTTATTTCATTTCAAGCCCTCTGAGATTAAATTAAAATGCATTTTGACCCTATGTCAGAATGGCATACAATAACTCAAAAATAACATTTAAAGAAGCCCACAAAGCTATTTTTTTAAGCTAGTGAGGAAGCATATATTTAAACATTCTGAAAGACATTTTGAGTGACTTATGTCACATAATAAATTTTCTGTTAGAGTCACTTTATTCTTACAAATAATCAAAGACTAGAACTGTATACCTTGGCAGAGATGGTAACAAAATCCTTGAAGGTCTTTAGCTCAGCTCCCTCAAGTGTCTTGTGCGTCGCAAGCTCTACCCTGAGCAGGTAATGCAATCCTGATTCAAGGTCAGCCATGTACAGCTTAGATCTGAAACACACATATATAATGTTATGAAGTGGCAGGTTTCTTTCGCTCATTTTCTCACCAGTCATGAAGATAAAATTGATATATAGTAGGTGTCATTTGAACCTCAACATTTGCCACTTCACAGTGATTGCAGTACATCCTACCCCAGTATGGGAAGACACAGCAGTTACTTCAGGTGCTCAGTATGGTGAATGTCAAGTTCAATGAGTTTCACTGAACTCTCTTAAAAGAGTAATTTTATGTTATTTTGTTCAGAGTTTAGATAAATGAGGCATAACCACACACAAGAATTTTTTACATTTGACTAAACTTTCTGCCTCCCAGCCAGTTTTACCTTGTAATGAAATTATAACCCTGACATTGTCAGCAAGGAAATAGCTAGTGTAATGAAATTACAGCTTCTCTTCAGGATTGACCATAAATAGGAAAATGACATACTAGGAAGAAAGGGAGACTTCTGTTGAACACGAGTAGGTTACACACAGTCTTGTGCAAAGAAGACTGAAAAAGGTCAATGTTGAACAGGACTGAATCTAGAAAACCTCTCCCAAATGCAGTAGTTTTACTGTTTTTTGCATGCAAGTTTAAGTCAGTTTTAATCACACTAGCTCTTATGACAGAATTAGGTACCTTACAACAGGTACAAGTAAAACATGTAAAGCAAATCAAATATTTTCTGAATTCCTTCTCATGACCAAGTATCTTCAGAACAACAAAAAGCATGCTACAAAGTACAAATACATCAAGTAAACCCACCCTATCTTTCAATGCTTTCAGAGTACAAACTCTAGACAGCATGATACTGAGCAATGCAACCAAACAAACAGAAGCTCACAAAGGTAATACACACTTCTTGTAAGAGTTCAGCAGCACTATTATTTCTAAAAAGAAATAGAATTAAAAGAACAATAATTTAAGAAACTGGCTAGTCCCACCTCTTAGATAGCATACAGAAAATAACATGTTAAAATACAGAATAATTGATATTCTTAACAACCCAAACTATAGAATTACTCTGAATTTATCTCAGTAACTTAAATGAATTTAAGTACTCACTTAAATTTAAAAGAACAGCAAATTCTGCTTCATGGTTCTTGAAGCATAAAGAGACATCCATGCAAATGCATGAGGTTCCCCCAACGAATCCTATGTAGAATATGCTTGGACTTGAGATTCACAACAACAAGATTTTGTCTTGCTGGAAAGCAGCTCAATTTAACTAAGTTGTTTTGATAACAGAATGTTTCATATAAAATATTTTATAATAGTCATTGAAAGAAGATGACACTAATGGTGTCCATGAAAGGAAAATAAGCACAACAGGAAAGCACTCAGTCCTACATCTTTTCTGTCTAAAGATGCTGAGGGATTATCTCCCTGCAAAGCCTTTGCATCCTTCTCTCCAACAGGGAAAGAGGGTGAAGATAAACCTTACTGGATTTGATGATAAACGTCTTTTAAAGTCACTTTAGTACTTTCTATTATACTTGACAAGCACATTTTGGTGGGCACTGCTTCCCTATTATACACACCCAGAATTATTGTTTTCTACAGAAATGTCATAGCTTGCTATTTTACTATTTAGTTTTTCAGGAACACTGATTACTTGCTGACATTTTCCAACAATTCACTTCAGGTAATGGGTGTGTCCTTTGTATTTTTAAGTCAATTAAGTGTTTAACAGTACTTCTGGAGAAAAACATTAGCAGTAGAAATGCTTGCTGCTTAAAAGCAAATACTGAAAGCCCATTATAATTTCAGCTCTGAGTTGTTTGAAACACTGCTCACAATTGTAAAGAAGTTGTAACCTTGATGCTGGAATTGAACTAATTCACAAGTGTTACCTGAATATACTGAGAAATGGATGAAATTGAAGCAACAGATGAAAGTTTTGCTCTCAGCTTTGATGTCATAATTCTTCCAGTATTAAGCATGAACAACTTAAATTTTACTCAGCAGAAGAATACAGGTCATTCAGTAGTGATCAACCTATTCAACCTATTCAATTCCATCCACCTGGGATGGAATGAAGTAAAATTTTCAACTGCTCTAGGATTTTATAATAAATTATAGCACAGCTTCCCATGTGGCAAGAAAAAACTGCAAGCAATTTTTAATAACCAAGCATTGATCTGAAAATCAGGGGTATCACTTACTTATCGAACTCTCTCCACACCTTGATTTCTGTACTCTCCTCTTTGTTTTCTTGAACAGGTAGCTGAAGTGGCAAAAGAAGTTTTTTTCTTACACCCGGCAGTGACTTTAAATACGAAGAAAAGGAAGACCGCAGGGGCTTCAAACTGCATATCAATGGACAAAGTAAAGATTACTTTTAATCTCAGACTAAGCGAATATCCAAAGCAAATTAGTGTATTTAGAAAATACAATATTCATTTTGGTTTATGTTTTACAGTCCTAGTGCAATGTTATGTTTTGATACAAACTGAGGTAAAATATTGTTCAATTTAGGAATAGTAATAACGATCATTTGGATTAGTGGTTTGAAATTCCATTCAAAATAAGAACACATCATGTCCATTCACCTTACACAAGTAATGTTCACATGGAACAAGTACTCTGACTTATAAGCAAGTCTACTGAAGAACTCTGATGCTTCATTAATTTTTTTTCCACTTTTATTCCAAAGCGTTTTCCTTTCAGAAACATCACAGTAATAGGTTAAAGCTATAAATAGGCAACAGTGGTAAGCAAAAGTAATATTAGGTCTCTTATTTAAAGATACAGGTAACAATATTAAATGGTTCATTAAGAAGAACCAGCTCATTGCTCTCAGCATATCAAACTCCAAAAAACAAACACTGGCCTAGAGCTCTTATTTCCAAACTAGACACGCTACTTCAAGTCATCTACTTCACAAGTGAGTTTTGTCAGCAGTATAAACTTGTTGTTGTAAGTCAAACAACACAAGAGTTATAATTACCCACCACACCATTTTGGCTTGTTTTCCCTACTAAATGATGAAGTCTAACTTCCACTGGCATAACCGATGTCTGTGATTTGCAAATATTCACAAAAACTGTTTAACAAGACCGCTAGATTAGTTAATAATTGCTAGAGAGCATTCAAGACAGGCAATTTTCAAACACAAAGAAATGGAACACACAACTTCAGTCAGTACAATGTATTGATTATATGCCAGGACACAATGTCATTATATCCATGCAAAAAGTTATAGAATAACTTACCTCATATGAAAGCAATCTAGGGAAATTGGTTATATAGCCTAAGGGAGCCTCCCCATACACCTCAGACAATAACTACTTACATGTTAATTAATCCATGGGACCCATTTGGATGTATCAGATAGCATGAAGGGACTGAGGTAATACCAAGTTTCTCAAGAAAATGCTTATCAAAATTCAACGCTCTCTTTACAACAATGTTTTCATACTGGATCAAGTCTAAGATAACCTGGGTAATGAAAAGATGACATGTATTATATAATTTTCAAGGAATACCCAATCTTGTAGCACAAGACATATAAATCAGTGAAGTGCATCATCCTTTAAGGGTATCATTAAGCTGTTCCACCAAGGAAGCACATCTCTGAGTATTCTGTGGACGCTAACACTTTCAGTTAAAGAAGATTTACTCTTCTCTGGAAATTATTACTCCTATCTTCCATTTCTTCCTCTTGGTCTATCCTAATCTCTTCCCTTTGAAGTCTAACATCTGAAGAAAATATGAGAATGAATGATAAAATGTCCTCATAAACCTCAAAATAGCCTAGAGAATATTCCACGGGCACCAACAGGTTTATGTTTCATGTTATATATATAAGAGTCTAAAGTCAAATTTGCAGGTAGTGAAGAAACATTGGTCCCACCACTGCACTGATGTCAAAGTCCATGACTTAGAAAACAACAAAGGGCTCCACAGGAGTTAAGGCTTTGCCTGGCAAGCCCTGCCAAATCAAGCTGTGTAGTCAGCAGTGTCACAGCACCCAGCTGTCTTTCAGCTCTGTTTACCAACCCCACAGCAGAGACTCCATATAGGCATGGGTGCCTATCAAGAGTTCCAGTTCACAGTCCAGCATCTTAGCTCAAACCAATCTTCATCAGTTGCTTAATCCTGATGCTGGGCTTTTGCACTTAGAGGAGCTGGGAGTAGGCACAAATTTATATGAAAGATGTAAAATTCAGCAAAGGGTGGAGGAGGTAGAAGAGAGCGGTAACATCAGGATTCCTCAAAGATTTGCCAGGGCTCAGCTTTCAAAATTCTTTGCAAACTACAGCCAAAGCTACACCTACAAATATGACTCAGTTATATGTAATGAAAATTTGCCCTTCTTTAAAAAAGAAAAGGAACTTAAATACTACTTTTTTCCCTTCTTAAACCCTTCAAGAGCCCACTGCTAAAGGCATCCTCTTTTACCATTCTAATGACCACACTCCTCACATCCTTCCATTAGCCTGTGCTCTTACACCATCGTTTCAAATGTTCCATTCTTACCTACAAAACCTTCCATACTTCCAGCTCTTCTTACATTTCTACTTGTCATTCCTTTACCCCTCTCTGCATCTTCTATATCTTTTTCATGTTGTTAGTTTCACAGTTTCCACTACACTCTTCCCTTTCAAGTGAGTATTTGCTATGTTTTCCCTCACTTTGCAACTTGTAATTTAAGAGACCTTTCTTCCCTTTCATCAGTGATGAACACATGGCCTTCCTTTCCTCAGCTGTTGTGACTTGTATTAGGCTGTCCATTTGTCTTATATTGTAAACATGAAAACAATGTCATTTTCTATTTCACTAAACTATTCTAAAATACTGCATATCATTAGCAAGTATTTTTTATTCTGAAAGCAGACTCCACTTGCTGTTAATCAGGTAACACTCAGTCTTTCCCTACAACAGTAGGTAATAAAATTAAAGCGAGTGTGATACAAAAACTGAAGAACTTTATAATCATTCAATTTCTTCAGTAATGCCCACTTGTATCAACACAGCAGCTTTGGAAAACAAATGTCTGGAAGCAGCGTGATTCTCAAAGTGATTCTCACTTTTGGCAGCACACTCTCCTCCACTTATGCAACTGGGCCATCTCAGCATTCAAGTCTAATTAGAAACATTTCACAGACATTGGATGTTTCTACATAGATTATGCCTAGATAATTATGCAATTTATTTTCTTTACTTATCCTAGATCTTGGCAGGAAGAGAAAAGTAACAGTTGTCTAAGCTAACAGCATGCTCATTAGGTGGTAAAATGATGCCAAATCAAATATTTTATTGGAGGGGTGGAGGAATTAAAAAACCAAAGACTTCCACTTCCTCAGTGCATCAGAGCTGTGAAAATAATTTTATGCTATCATCCTAATTTAGAACATAATTTTCTAAAACCTATACATGTATAAAGAGAACCAGAGAATTTAGATTATTATAAACAGTTGAAATCACAAAAGCTGCCCAGAAGGATGAATATTATGAATGGTTCTCTCGCAGTAACATAACAGTAATGTAATCTGACAGTATTTTTGTTATGATCTTCCAAATCTTGAAATAAAAAAATTCTGCTAACAATGGAATTGGTAAATTAATCTTACACTAAAACATGAATGGAAGAAGTTAACATGACATCACATTCATTTGTAAGAAAGTTACTCTGTGTGACTAAATTCAACATCCCTATATAATCCCTTGATTTTGATATCTCAGATATGCATGATCTGCCCTTTATGACCCTTTAATTCAGTCTTATAATCAGAAATTTTGTTGCTTGGCTAATTAACATAGAATTCAACTGTGTTATGATAACATTCATTCACATTCATTATGTCATTCTTAAGTCTTATGTTACCTCTCGTCCAACATAGGAGTTATTACTTTCAAAGACGACGGCAGTATAACGATGGCTGTTCTTGTCAAAAAGAGAAGCAACATCACTGAACCTTTTAAGAAAAGAAAAGCTATTTACCACAGGTTAAATACAATATACCCGCTGTACGATGAAATTACCTTTTACAATCTCATAGCAGAACTGATAATAAGAAAAAAGCTTACTTCATCTTTAATAAGATTTTCTACACTTAGTAATTACCATAGTAAGCATATACCGGCTGCATTTTAAACAAGGAACTTACGAAACTGGATCCAATGGCGGGCAAGCTGGCGGTCTCAACTCTTGGGAATGGTTCTGTAAGAAGTCAATCATCATCTGACGAACTGTTTGCAGCTCTCTATCTGCTCCCGCTGAGTACAGGTTACAAAAAATACAACACCTCAGAAAACTAGGGAAAAAAATTACTCACATGCAGGTTTTCATACATTCTCATGCTTTTCTGTGTCAGGTTTTTGTTTTAAATTTTGGCTTAAAAAACAGAGTACTATTTGGCTGAAGAACAGGGACTAAGGATTTAGTTGTAGGATTTCATTTTAATGTTGAGATCACATTTAAAAGCTGTCATCCCACACCAAAATTAATAAAGCCTCCAGCCTTTTCCAAATCTAGCCATCTGCCTGCCTTGCTGATTTTCTCTTCAAACAATGCTTCATTCTAAATCTGTGTGCATTTTCACAATAGTTGGTGTTGGCAACTTCAGCAGCTTTTTTGCAATAAGGATATTCATCATGCCTTAAAAACTGTAAAGGCATACCATTCTTACTAAATGGGCCAAGTGAGGCTACAAAGCTATGTAACAATATAAGGAAATAACTGAACTGTGGGAGTATGTTATTTACTTTAAAGGAAATAAATTTAAAGAGCAGAAACTCTCACAAATGACAAAAAGTAACAGGTACAACTACAGTCTACTTCTACATGAAGGGTTAATGGTGCAGGTGGTCTCTTTTCTGACCTCTGGCCTTTTAAATGTTAATCCATTGAAAAAGACAACATTACTTTTGTCCCCAGACAAACCACCTCAAGCTGTGATCCTGTCAAACACACAGGATAAGCCTGTTTTCAGTTAGTCAACATCTGAATAGGGGTTCCCCCCAGTGAGACTCGGGAAGCTGGAAAGTGGCCGGCAAATCAAAAAGCACCAGTCAGGGTTGAGCAAATTGGATCTCATGATGATGGAAAAAGGAATTTTAAAAAATTATCTAGCCATTTGTGCAAATTAAGAACAACATTAAAAAAAAATAAGGAATGTGAGCCCTATGTTCTTGAACAAATATTTTGCCTGTCTAAACTTCTGCCTGACATTCCATTTTTATATAGTACTTGTAACATCATATCTTAAAGAGCCATTTAGTGTCCATCCCATCTCTAGCTGTCTAAACTAACTGACAGGCAAAGGGATTTTGCTTGTTGTGTGACACATTCCTGGCTGATAGGATAACTGCTTTGGGGATTTCTTACAGTAGGATATTCTTACCTTTGTAATTTTCTCCAGTAGTAAACTGCTTTGTAAATGCTTTGAAGTACTAAGTGGGGGAAAAAAAAAAAAAGTATTACTGCTTTGAAAATAACTCACTGTATAAGATGAAAGCTCAGTTTAGAAACAAAAATGGCTTTCAAGACATTTACTTTGTACAGCTCTAATTACAAAATATTTTTATCTATCTGTTCAGAAGACAATTTCTCCTCATAGCCTCTAAGTTCCAAAGATCTGCTTCTCAACTATAAAAGGGTAGCTCATAGGTACCAGTCGAAACTCTAATACACAGTAAAGCCAACTTTTAGAGGAAAAATATCACAATGCATAATTCAGTACTGTATATTGATTCCTTACGGCAACCATTAACCCAAACACGAATTAACTGATTACCAAATCAGTACTACCAACTGTGTATATATTTAGGACACTATTCACATTTACTCAACTCCCTCCAGTGGTTAAATAGGATATATAATGGAGCTTGACTGCCTTCTGCTATAAAAAAAAATTAAATGGAAATGATTCGGTGTCTAATAAAGAGTGCATTCCAATTTACACCCAAAACTGTAAAGATTAAAAAGAAGAATATTGTTCTTTCTATCAGGGTAGAACATCACAAATTCTACAGTGAAACGCCTCCTGTTCCCTCTCCTGTCATAACAAACATAGATTATTCAATTCTCTCTATCCATCACATTCTGCTTATACTTATGGTTAAATATGTGATTATACAGATTGACAGAGAAGTTAAAAATTGCACTTAGATCTGAAGATGAACAATGGTAGATACTTTTGGCAAACACAGGATCCCTTTTAAAAGACAGTTTTAGCAAATTATGAAATTGGAAAAATAGTGAAGGATCAATTAAGGGTAAATTTTTAATTGGAGCCCTGGTCATGAAATCAGCTGATTCAATGTATTACCTTTACTTTCACATACCAAAACTAAAAACACTATTAACAATCACGAACATTTGAATTTGAAGAATACTTATACAAATCGGTATTATCTAATGACTATATCAGAACTAGGTGTTATATAAATGTAGTAACAGTACTTTCTAGAATTGTATCTTCTTTCAGTAAGAACTTTTCAGATTCAGAACTTAAGACTGATTTACTACTACAAATAACTGCATTAGCTACTGCATTTAGCAAGAACTCAGCCTTTTATTAACTCTGTAGCTTTCTCACTAAAAGCAAAGAAAAAGTCAAGTTAAAGAACAACATGTAAAACGCTGCACAAGCAAGTTTGTTACAGTTTTAGTTATTATAAAACATGCATCATTTACCTAAGGCACTACACTATGCCACTTACCCTAAAAGTTGGGTAATAGTGAATACCATATTCTTTGCACGTCTCATAGTTCTCTTCTTCCCCACAATCCAGCACACCAACTCTAATTGCAGATTCCCAGTCTGAAAACAAAGATATCCTTCAATTTTCAGCAGAAGCTATCATGGATCCCAGCTGATGGATTACCCTGATTCCCATGGAAATCAACAACAGAACTCCAATAGATTCCAGTGGCATAAAAATCAAGCCCTTGGTCAATTCTCATTTGCTGTTCATTTCTATCATCAAGTGTAGTACAGTCTACTGATTTGTAAAATAACTAAAACCTCCCCGTTTTTCTTAGCTCCTTCAGTATTTTCAATACACCTAAATAAGAAGATTCCCAACATACAATAGAGCACTTCCAGGGCCAAAGACATTTTATTAAATCTAGGAAGGTGAAATAGGGGCCAACCCAACACTTGCAAGATACTGAATTGCATTCCCTAGCTTTTCCCATTAGTTACGCTCATAAAATAAAGCATGCACAAATACATATAACTGAATAAAATTAACCCAGCAGTTACTCATCCACATGGCTGTCAATTACAAAACCATCAGTTTGATACGTTTTCTATTAGAGCTGTTTTAACAAGAACTTACTATTTACCAAACTTAGAATTTTCTCAGAGGTCTCTAGAGTTGCACCCAACCCAAGGCTCACATATTGTCTATTGAAAGCTGTCTTTATCTTTTAGTACTGTTCAGGATTACATTAGATATACCTCAAAAGAATATTTGGGTTTTAACCAGAGTACTAAATAGTTGAGTTTAAGCATCACTAAGTTTCCTTTATAAATGTTTCACAGCAGTAACCACAAGAGTTCAAGTATTTCCATAAATATGCTTATATAACTTCAATAAAAGCTTTCAACTCAGTTATAGCTTTTTCCTTCTCATTTTGCTAGGAACTTATCTTTTTGAGCCATGCTCCGCTGCAGCAATCACTTTAAGAAAGAACTGCTCCAAGAGACTCCTTAGACAGTTACTTTTTAAAGCTAAGCTAAATCAAAACAGCTGTGGGCAGAATTTGAAGGTACACCACAATTCCCAAGTATCAATAAAATTTAAAAAGCACTAAAATTAAACTTGCTTTTATAGCAAAGAGCATGAAAGCTTCATCAAGTTCAAGATCTGATTGACAGTTGCATGCCTAGCTGCTTTTGAAATTTAGTTTGACCTTTATTTGTCTTTGGAGGAGGATGGGGCAGCTGATGGAGATTTCAGTTGTGTTGAACATGCCAACAGCTGAACAGGCACCAGGAGTAACTACAAGCATGCTAGAGCAGATGGGTATGTATTCACAGGAACACAAAAGATACAACAGTCTATTTCATCAAATAAAATGCAAAATAATAAAACAAAAAAAAAGTTTGGCTTCTGGGTATCTATCTCATTCAACTTTCACCACTCCTCCTCCTTTTTCCACCTGTCTTGATCATCCTCCATACAATGAACAGAAGCACAATGAGTCTAATGCAAATAGCCTACTCACAACAATGCAAACCCATCTCTAGCTAAATACTTGGGTTAAAGAGCACCAGCTGGGATGTGTGCTGCTTAGCATTTGCTTCTGGTTAAAAAGGAGCTTTTCCTTTCCACAGGATGTGAAAGTTGCTGGACTGCACAGCCTAGATTGTGTATGTTTACAGTGCTACTGTAGGCTGGATTTTTTTTTTTTTTAATGTTGGTGAATATTAAATTAGCCCTGGTATTTTTGAAATACTAACTCACAAACTATATGAAAGGGGTAGATGAGTGATATCATATTAATCAACCATATTTCTGTTTATGCTAAACAAGTCCAATGAATGACATTACTGTATTGTACAAACTGGAAATCCAGCAAGTCGGTCAAACCTCCCACTTAAATGCTACAGAATATCAACACACCAGTCACAGTGTATTATGAGGAAGATCCCTTCTTTGCATAAACCTTGTGTATTCCCTCCAGCAGGTAGATGCAATTCTGTGTATTATCTTCCAGTATGAAGTTTCAATCAGAGATATAAGAGAAATCTCTCCCTGGTACTTGAGAGTTATGTATTTTAAGACATAGGCTGCTTCCTGAATAATGATGAGGTTTCTGCAATTCCCCACCACATGTGTTTAAAGAACAATTTCTAGAAAGAAATCATTATTGCTAGAACAGTTGTTCCAAATCCAGAGAAGTGGATTGCTTCTGCATATAATTCAGGGGTTTTCATATATGGGATTTCCAAGGGTTTGTTACTTCTACACTGAAAATTACTACATAGAATTCCAGCCCACAGGCATTTTGGTGGATAGATTCAATCATCTTCTAAGACAGAAAAAGTACAATTAACGATAATGGCCACTTTGGACGCTACTGTAATAAAACTAAATGCGTGATTACAAATGCAGCAACAATGACTCTCTACTTACAACCTGTTCTGAGTATCAAACTCAAAATGTAAATTACACAAAAACAAGCACTGCTCCTATTTTTCAGGTTTATCTTCTGTTATGAAGTCTGAAATGACAGTATTGCCAAGATTTAACAAATGAGAAATTAGATAAAAATAAAGTATATTAGCACAGGCCTTTCACGGACAAAGTAGTTGCACCAATTAAACTGGACTATAGCAAATACAACCACAGTGACCTAGGAGTTCTCTAATGTAAGTAGGTCTGCACCCTCAAAGATAGCTGTAATAGGCTAGCAGTTGAGTAAATATTTTTAAAAATAAATGTTGAGGCAGCCTAAGTGAACAAAATGTTTTGGGTTTTTTTTTTTTGGATGAAATTACCAATGAAAAGTGTGACTGTTCTCAGTCTCCTATTAAAATCCACTCATTTCAACCTTAAAATGGAAACATTTCGCTGACAAATAACATCAGAAGCCCACTGTGTTTCCTGATAGTGCCAATATCCACAAACATAAAAATCCACTTTTTAAATTAAAGTATTCATAAAACATCAATGGATTAAAGAGTAGATAGGCCTTTATCTGGTTATAGTAATACAAGTGCATAACATCATTTGCAGTTATCATGACTGCAGATGAGAAAGAAAATATATATTTGAAGAAGTCATTACAAGTTACAAAAAATACTGCTTACAAAGGTACCATGCTGCTGTAGTAATATACAAACATGCCCCTGTCTTATTTTGACAAAAGCTCTGGTCAGTTCAGGCTCTTCATGGTCTTCACTGCTGTGTTCAAACACCTCGTTGTTCTTTTCTTCAATTCTACAATTTTGATGACAAGCAATTCAAATCAGGTGGTGAAATTGTTCCACAAACTTATGCAAAGAAAACAGAAAAAAGCTACCACTTTTATAAACAAAACCCCTGTGCAAGTAAGGAGCATTTGAAATGCTCTGAAACCACTACTGCTCTGTGTTTCTCGGTTTTTGAGTTTCTGCTCATCAGTCAGCAGTCCTCAGCACGTGATGAGTTCATCACGACCTATTTTTGGGTAGGCCTTCATTTCCGTATATTTAAAACCACATATATCTAACACTGTGCCTACATTTCATGTTAATCGTTAACACTTTTCATGTACAAGGCTGCCAGAGAAAAGCCAGAGCTCTTCACTCCCTCTCAAAATGAAACTATGTGAATGCATTAGAACCGCTGTCTCCATCCTGGAAATGTCTCTTGGGTCAAATGGTAAATTAACAGTAGTTTAAAAGCCTTTAACACCACTATAGGAAGCACAATATTTCCTAAAAATTTTATCTGGGGTCTTGTCCCCACCAGAGGTATTGAATTTAACCAACATGTGAGGGGCCTGTTTGTTTCCTTACCTTATATCTACAAAGAGTAAAACACTTCAGCATCTGCCAATAAAACTGAGCAGATTAAGACACAGCAAGGCAGGTCTCTCTCAGTATTAGGTGTGGAGGCCATAATTTCTTAAGTCACTATTTGATCAATCTGAAAATCAGACTCTTACTTAGCTTGATTTTTGTATTACTTCCTGGCAGTCCTTTTCCCCCCCCTCTAGTCTATTCACGCTCTACTGTCTTTGTATGAGGTAATTCAAACACGAGAATGGCCTCTCCAGTACCACAATATTTATTTTTCATTCAGCCTCTAAAATAGGCTAGTCTCTTTACAAAACATTCAGAAGATAAAGATCTCACCTCAAAGAGTTTAGTCTAAACATACCTCCTGTGCATCAGCGCATCCACTTGTACGCTGCAATGCACACAGAGCCGCTCGCGTGTAACTCCCCAGCTGGATCGCTCTGCGGCCGTGAGAGGCGGGGATGTTTTAGCCCCGGATTCCTATGCAACCTTTAATTTGGAAACTTGCTCCTATCCCCCACGCCTCGCTCTGTCCCGGGTGCCAGAGAAGCGAGAAGGGAGGCGATGCTGGCGCATCGACGAGGCGCCACGCTTCCTGCAAAGCGCGGCGAGGCACCTCGGAAGCACCGCAGGTGACACTGCCAAGGCCCCCCGTTGCCGCCGAGCAGCCCACGGGCGACCGAGGCACGGCCGCGGCCCACACGGGTGCTCCGACCCCGATCCCAGCACCGAGACCCAACGGCCGCGGCCCGGGAAGCCGAGGGAGGGCCGCGGGGTCAGGCCTGCGGCTGCCTGGCCTCCCGCCGGGCGGAGCTGCGGAGAACCGGGCAGCAGCGGCGGCCGCTCCCGGGGTGCGGGGGGCCCCGGTCAGGACCCGCCGCGGCGGGGGCGCCTCACCTTTAACATCCCCCGCCAGGGCCCGCCAGGTAGGGGCGAAGGCGATGCAGTGGCCGCAGGACGAGCTGTAGAACTGCACCACCCAGGCGGCCGAGGAGTTGAGCAGCGCCCGCCGCACCGAGCCGGCTGCCAGCACGGTCAGCGGGTCCTCCCCCGCCCGGTACAGCCGCGCCGCCGCCGCTCCCAGCAGCAGCAGCAGCGGCGGCAGCAGCAGCGGCAGGACCGGCAGCGGCCTGCCGCCGCCCGCCGCCGCCATGTTGGGACGCCAGCGGTGCGCCGCGAGGGGCGGGGCGGGGCGGGGCCGCGCCATAGCAACGCGCCGGCCCTGGCGACGCGGCCTGGTGGCTGGGACCCGACACCCCCCCGCCGCCTCCATCCGCTCCTTCCCGCCTCGGCGGCCCCCGGCTATGGCGGCTTGAGGGGGAGACTCGGCCCCTGCATGTTTTTGAGGGAGGCGATGTCGCCCGCTGTCCGTCCCCCCCCCCACGCCACAGCAGCCATCGAGGGCGACGTGGCCTTTCCTCAGGTGGGGCCGCACCTGCCGCCATGTCCCCACCACCAGCCCGGGGGGTGGCAGGGTCCCTCTTTCCTGTCTGGTGCCCAAGGCCATTACCAAACCCTGGGGACAGGGACGCACCGCAAACAAACCCTTTGCCATTGTATTTAGAGGCACGTTTCCCTCGGGGGAGCGTGTAAGAAAAAACAAACAAAACCCCCCCAAAAAAACTAACGAGGTTAAAAAAATAGAGGTAGCTTGGTGGCTGATTTTATGGTACGATCTGCTTTTATGGTGCGATCTGCTACAGAAACAGAAGTTTCAACTTCATGAAGCTTCTCACTGAGAAGAGATTAAAATAGTGTAGCCTTTGGGTCAAGAACTGTTTCATCCTGACGTACATCACTTGGCAGGAAAGAGCTGTTTCTCCTCAAAACTGAAGATACGATAAAAGGCTGCAAGTAGGAGGCTGTGAGCTCTGAAGAGGATGTTAGAAACTCTGCCTTTCTAGTAAATTCAGATTAGTTCTGCCCTAGTAATGGATTTTAGCACCTTTTATAGCGGTATCCATGGAATGAAAGTCTGCTTTCATTTGTAAATACAGGCTCAAGAATTTTCATTACATTAACAGAGACAGAAAGCCAACAGAGAAAATTTCTTAAGAGGGTGACTTCAGAGGAATTTCAAACTCAGATAATGAAAGACTGAGGTCCCCCAAAAGCTCATTTTTGCTTCTGTTACTCCCAAATGCTTCTTTTAATCCTTCAAGAACCAGTAGGAAACAAATGGGTCCAAATTCTTACATCAGGCCCACAGGTGTAAATTTAGAGGTTAGAATGTAGTTTGTCATTTTTCTGTCTAGTAATCCACAGACAGTACAAGGGTGGGAATCTTATATACAGTAAAAATCCTCTCCCCTGAGAGCTCATGAACAGATTCTGCTACCTTCGGCTTTTCTTTTTCTGATCCTCTCTTTTCTTGACCATTAATATCTGAAGTGGTTCAGTCATGTATCTTTTGCATCCATATCCACAGCTATAAATTACACAGTTGCTTGTATCCCATCCTAGCTGAGGGTTTTCTGTCTCTATTCTTCTTGGGCACTGTAAGCAACAGAGTTAAATGGTTACAATAGCAGAGCCCAATCACTTCAAAGAATTGAAAAAGTCTTGTGGCATCTGCTAATTAGGATTTTAAAAATATGCAGTGCTTAAGTTATTTTAGAGTGAATTTTATTCTGAGGAATTGTTAGATGCATGAAGATGAAAGAGATGGATTACAGGAAAATTAAATGTAGGGTTTAACTGAGAAATAATCATTTTCTATGAAAGATAATGACTCCTCTTGAGGCTAGTATCAAGATTTATTGACCCAGGAGGTTAATATTGATCAAAACCAAGGCAAACAAAATATTAGACCTTGAAGGAGAGTAATCTTGATATTGAAGTCTTGCCACCTACTGAACAAGTCAATATATCTGGGTGCCAGAATCTAAGGTTTTGAACACAGAATGGTGGGGGATATTAAATATGTCTGACATGCTCTGTGTATGCACTTTTTATTCTCATCAGTAGTAGTTACTTTATAGCTATGTCCTTCTGTATATAGCATCTTGCAAGGGTTTAGATTTCACTCACAAACCTAATTGCAAATATAATGGTTATCTTCAAGTATAACATATAGTGTAACATAAGGCACCAGTCAAAATAAAACGAGGCCTTCAGCTACTCACTCACATATAAGTGATATTTGTAATAGCTTTCAATGCAAACACAAGAATGATCTTGCTGTTGCTGCAAAACCATAGTGACAATAAACTGATAAACTGTAGTGCTTCAGTATATAGATTTGTCATTGTATCCAACAATTTGTCTAAAAGTCTGGGAGGGAAAAAAAAAAAAAAAAAAAAAAAGAGTTAAATTCTACTATAAACTGACAACAAGAAAACATTAATCTTGGAACAAATAAATTATCTGGATTAATTATTCAATAAAGATAAAACTCAGAGACTTAAGAAAATGTACCATGAGGGACATGAAAATAGTTTATAGGATAAGATCAACAGTTAATGTGCTTGGGGCAGAAGTTGCCTTTTTATGTCTCTTCATCTGGCAACTAGCAGGACAGGGCTTTTTAGTATCCCCAGGAGCTGTCTGCAAAACAACAAAACTACTCCCATTCACTAATGGGAATAACAATTTATACAATATAATCTGCAATAATAATTGATTTCAGTAAAAAGAAATACAAATGAGATACATTGGGTTTGTTTATTCAGAAAACAAACAATTCAGTATGAAAACAGTTAAGGCATGAGTATTTAAAAATAGAAACAAATTATATTCCTCTTTTTCCCACCAAAACCTGATTGTAAATATTATAATTTTAAATATAAGTTTATATATAGTTTATATTTAACTGTTCTGCTTTTCATTCTTTTTGAAAGACATCCTGAATGAATGGGATTTGAATAAATCAGGTCTACTTACATTCAATTATTCAATAATGAACAGTTTCTGAATTCCAGTAAGGAATATTTGCACAATATTTAATTTTAAAAAACAAATAAAAATTTATCATTGGTCTTCTCAATGCAAAAATAGGTGGCACCACAGCAATCTACATAATGAACAATTACCATGCTCAGGGAATGCTTCTATTTCCTTGTCAGAAAATCTCGATTTTCCTAATTTTGCCAATACAAAGGAATGGAATTATTGATTCCCTCCGTTTTGCCAATTAAAATATATCCTCAGCACCCTAGGTTTAGATGCTGTAAGAATTCAAAGGGCTTATGTGAATTGTGTGATAAATAACCTAATCACATGCACATACTTAATTTTCATAACTTGGAATCACCAATAGAAATGTATCCCATTTAAAGTGCATTACATCAGTATTTGTCTCGTTTACATAAAGTTGTAGACATTTAAACTGAATGTCTGGCTTTAGATCCTGCCAGGGTTCCACAGTGTATAAAAAAAATGGTACACAGCCACCTTTAACTCTGCCATACCCCTCAAGAAAAGTTTTTGTCTTGTTCCAGTTAGAGGAGTTTATTCCAAACTACAGCCATCCGCAGCAATTTGGTTGCTAGGAGATTTAATTACATCTGCACATTTATGTTCTTAAGACAGTCAATCCATGCCTTTCCAAACATTATTTTCAAAATATGATTCACCTGTCATCATTCACAGCTTGAACATGATAACAAAGAATAAGATCATTTACACATAAATTGGTTTTGAATCCTGTTTGTATAGACTTATATACAATTTTAGAACATGCTGTGCTCTTAAAATGCATACGTGAATAAAGTGTTATCTTGACCAAAACAACAGTCATGAATAAAATTTCCACCCTTTAGATTCTGTGACCTGAGTCTAAGACCACTGTTGATCTTAATGAGCATTCCCAAAGCACAAAACACAAGGAGAATATTTTGTGTAATATTTTTCTATCTGCTTAATGCTCTGCTTCCATCCTTTAATTGTAGACATGAACATACAAATTGTATTGGGTACAAGTTCAGAATTAAAATTCTTAAATCATGCATTTCTTGGCTAAAAAAAAAAAAAAACAATTAAAAAAAAAAAAAAGCAGAGATTAAAATTCTTCCATTAGGGCCTTTTAGGGAAGACTTCTAATCACATGCTTTTCTCAGATAAATCTTATTAAGAACTCTGATTGTATCAAGGATCAAGCTATCAAAGATGTCTTCAGTCATTCTCATCTTCACAGTTAATTCATCATCATCATAGTAAGTCCACTGAGATTCTTCTTTGCGGAGCTCCTGAATCTAAAATTTAACAGAGATATGAATGTTTTCTTCAAGAATAAGAGCGTGGTCAGTTCTGAAAGGTACTAAGACACTGTACCTAATCCAACAATGTTATATAAGCATTGTTAATTTATTTGAGTTAAACCACTCACAAGAGCTGGAAATACTGTATTATTATTGGAAGTGTACTGAAAAGAAATGCAATAACTTGAAGTTCTGAAATTATTTTATGTAAACATGATTCTCATAAAAGCATGAGAATTTCTTGTTTAAACGGAGAGAAAATAAACAATTCTCCATTTGAAAGTCTGCTTACCAGAATAAGGTCCACTCTGTCTCTCTTACAGTTTCCATACTTGGTCATATTAAGGAATTTTCTTTTCCTTTCTAAGTCATTCTTTTCCAGGTTCATTATTTTAATAATTTCACCCTGAACAAACGTCTACAAAATAAAAAAGGCTGAAAAGAATTCTTCTCATAGGAATTCTGTCACTGTGAAGGTTGCAAATGAGTGACAGGTGCCAGTGTGAAGATCCAGCTTTAAATCTAGAAACATCTCAAAGTTTAGGGAGCTAATCTAGTAGCTGATCAATACTGGCCAACCAACACATTTTAAACAAAAGATTACTTTAGGGGTTACATCTAAGATAATCATAACTAGGGAGATTTGGAAGCCCAGTTCCCATTCCTCTACAGAACTCCATGCACTTGGAATATTTAGGCTAACCAGCTCAATCTGTATGTATTCAAACATTTCAGAGCAATGCTGCTTTCTCCAATCACCTCAGTTACACTGCCATAATCCTCCCAGATTTCACATTTTTGTCTTTGTGCCGTTGCAATATCTGCTCTTGTCACTGTCTCTTGTTATTATACACTTTACATTTCCAGATTGTACCTTGACATCATTGACATCTGTTCTTGTGCAAAGACACCTGGAACAGTGAGATCGCAAATTTTCTTTCATCCATGGAAATGTATTTGGATTTGCAGTCACTCGATATTCTGCACATAGCAACTCACGGGTCAAATCCAATATAACCTGTAACAACAAAAACACAATACCAACATAAACTGAATCTCTCACTGATGCCCTTTTAAAAGTTTTCTCAGTGCTTCTGAAGGATGTTAGGCTGGTGACAGTAGAGGTTTGCATCTCGGTGCAAAATTCCCTAACATCACCTGCATCACCGGTGTTCCTATAGTAGATGTCATGATGACCATTGCCTAAAAAGCACGTAAACCTGTACAGCAGAAGGTATCGGACAGTGGTGTGTGAACACTCACCAAGTGTGGATGGCTTACACAAGAGCCCCTGATGGGACCCTTTAATGTCCTTATGTAAACAGAGGTCCACAAAACTCAATAATTTCAGGATGCCGAGGAACATAAAGATATGCCCAAACTCAGCAGGACATCCAAGGCAGGAGACTTGGACTTTTTAGTCTGCAGCTTTCCAAGAAGCTTAGCTTTTTTCTGAACAGACCCAGAACAGACACTGGGCTAGGTGTCCAGGGTCTTATGATTGAAGATCTCTAGAAAGAGGCTTATATCCCATCAAGGACATCTGTTCTAGTAGAATTATTTTGCAGTAGATTACCAGAAGCAGTATTTTGCAATACCTCTTCCAGTGTTCCTTTAGTTATATTTAGTGTTAGCAGCTAGAATAATATTAAGTACTAGTTAATATGAGTCAGCCTACAGAACACTAGGAAAGTTTAAGAACAGTTATTGCTTTAAAAATACCTGATTGTACATCCTGTTGCTTTCTGTTTCCAAATTGTTCCCTGGGAGATCATTATATTCAAAGTGCTTTGGCACACTGAAATTTGTATACATGTTTTCTGGAGTCCATAATTCTTCTACAGCATATGCAGACAATTTTTCAACATATGAACTGTAATGTGGTATCACGAGAGGAACTTCCACTGTTTTCTTCCAAGGAGCTGAGTGCCACTGATCTAATTTGTACAAGTATTGCTTTTGTGTTTGTCTCACCAGCATATGTTGGTCAGAATTAGTCTGATCAAAATCTTCAGAGCTTCCAAAAATGCCAGCATCAAGGATTTTTATAAGGAACTTGAGAGAAAAAGAAAATCCAGGTGACGTACTCCATATTTTTCCACAATTTTTAGAGTTATTAAGATTACTAGCAACTGATTAAGGTTACACTTAAAACCATCTTTGTACTCATGTGCTCAAAGAAAGGCTTACTCATGTGTTAGAAAAATACCTATTTTAAATGTATTTGGCAGAATTCAGAATTAGAAAGAATTCCAAATTTGGAGTTCTATGAAAGTTTTTCACATTTTGAATAATTTTTGTTCTAAATTTAAATTATTCTCCACACACAACCCCCCCAAACAAAGCTGCTTTTTTTTTTAACTTTCTGTGGTAGTATTTTCTAATGGACTATTTCAGTAAAAATTAGACACCATCGGAGTGGAAGCAGGAGGCATCAAAAGCTTCCATTTCATTTTGAGTTCTGGTCTCCCAGAGGGCTGAACAAAACGGGAGAGTCTGGCAGCTCTGAGTCTTGACTTTGCTAGAAGCTGCCTGCAGAGCTAATACAGAATTAGAAAGCTGAAGGTCTCACAGCCAGGAGCTGCAGGCAGAAGAGCTGACAGGTATCCAGGTTTGCTCTGAAATTAATCAAAATTGAAGTGTGTGCAGATTTATCAGTTTTCACCAACTGACAAATTCCATCAAAAATGTTCCATTTGCTTTGGACTAGCTGTAATCATTATCCCCATGCTTGGCTCATCCTTGTCCCCCCCATATACATACTATCCACTGGCTGCAGGATAATTCCTTAAATGAGGAATGGGTCAGAGTAATCTGGTTCCAATTGTTGAAATGATGTAATTTTTATAGATAGAAATCAACTGGGCAACACAAGTGCTTGTCTATGTAGACCCAATTTCAGGTCCAACGCCTTAGACAAAAACTTTCTCACTGTACTTACTGGCAAAGTGGTTGGAGAAGTCTCTGAAGATGAATGAAAGATCTTGTCTGCTTTTGATCCGTGTTTTCTTTTAATCTTCTTATATTCTTTAACTGCATCATCTACAAATTCAGTTACAATTCTCTCTGCTACTGTGTGACAACCATGAATGCTAAGCATATCAAAATCACACAGTAAAACATCAGAAACCTTTGATGATTGTTCAGATAAGACAGCAACTGAATTTTCTTTGAGGAGAAACAGTTTCTGATTGTCTTCCTGTCTTAGGCCTTTGCCATAATTCATTGTGTCTTTTTCAAAGGCACTTTTATATTTGTGTTGAGCTGTTCTGGAAAATGCAATTAAAATGTCAAACAGAAGTTTTTTACTGGGTTCACTTGCAATATCATCAGCAAGTTTATTTCTTTTCTGATCCTCAAACAGGCAACAAATATTCTTGCTTGTGTTTACCTCATCTGTGTTTCCAGTCTTACTTTTCATTGGAAGCACATCTGCAAGTATCCTTTGCTTTACTTGTGTCAGTTGTGTATTTTCTTTATCTGATCCCAAGCACATTAAGTTATTTTGACAGAGGAACTCATTACACTTACACTGGTCAGAATGTGGAAACTTTTGCTCTTTTGCAGACAGCAAGGCAATATGTAACCTAGACCGGTTTTCTTTCACTTCTGATCCTCCAGTACTTTTTGTGTCTTCTGCTTTCTCCTCTGTAAACCCTGCTCTCTGGTTGTTGCCTTCAGAATATTTGCAGTCTCCTTTGAAGGATTCATCATCATAGGAGTCAGAGTCTGCATCCCCAGTGTAATTGGAAGGATTTTCATTAGTACCTAAGAGGTGTGAAATCTCATCAGGTCTGACAAAAATGCCACAGTGCTGAGCACACTCAAAATATTTCACCCCTTGATAAGTTCCAGCATTATCACCTTCAGCTTTGTCAAGTGCAACACCAGCCCAATGGCCACTAGCAAAATAAGTCCGTCCTTTGAACATTAGGGTTCCAGGTTGGGTCTGCTTTACTAGCACTCTGTCCCCAATTTCAAATGATAATAGCGGGTCATCACTGTCCTCAGCTTTCGGCAGCGTTAAGGATGTTTTGCGTTGTTTTATCATGAAATCAGGACTTTTACTGGCCTGAACAGAAGAAACAGCATTTGACACAGGCAGAAACTCCAAATGCTGCAAAGGTGTCTCCTGTTCTCCTTGATGGTATTCTAGTAAGCCCTCTTTTGCACTGGAAATAGCTTTAACGAAGGATTGTTCCAAGAGACTACCATCCTGAGTTGAAAAAGCATCAGCTGTCTCTCGACTGAGCGGGGGAAATTCTTCAGGCACAGTGTTATCAGGTAATGGGGGTAATGCATCCATTTTCAGTGATATATCTTCATCCATACACTGTCTAGTCTCTGAGACTGTCATTTGTTCCGGTGGAGATGGGAAATCGTCCATACTGAAGGTAGAATCATCATTTTTCATTGCATCTGCACCTAAAGGGGGAGGAGGAAGCTCTTCACTTGGAAATGACAAATCCTTTTTATTAGAGGATGGCAAGTCAGCACTTCCATAGGACAATACTTCATCAACAGGAGACAGTATTTCTGACAAGGTATCCTCATCTGTTGGAGGGAGACCCTCATCACTAATAAAAATTGTATCATCATCTTCACCTTTGGAAGAGCAGTTCTCAGCTTGAAACAATTGCTTTTTTGAGGAGACAGGAGAAAACAGACCCCTCCTTTCTTCCTTTATGGCTTGTCTTTCAGTTGTTGAGTTATTTTGATTTCCTATGGCCACCTTTTGGAAAGAGTCAAATGAATTGGTTTCTGTATGGACTTCCTCAGAAATTCCTGGCATAGACATGGGCAGAGATACAATCTTACTGAGTTCGCTGGATGTGAGTCTCTCATTCAAAAGCTGTGCATGATTATTTCTGCCCCCTGAATCTGGTAAGTTTCTTGAAGATACACATGCTGTTAATTTGTTATTTGTAATATCTTTGTCAGGTGACAAAGAGACAGTGTTCCTAAGCTGGTCAATAACCAAATCTAGATGTTTCAAAGAACCTGTCAGTGAAAACCCCACTAGATCTGTATTTTGATCCACAAATAAACTGTTAATTCCACCATCCTTCTCCATTCTGCTAGTTGTAGAACTAGGTTTCTGCTGTCCATAGATCTTAGGTGAGTAAATATCATCACTGCATGAAGAGCTGGTAACTGCATCTTTACCCTGTTTTGTGATCTCCTGAGAACAGGTTTTGTTTCTACTGTAGTTTTCCGAGGCATCCAGGTGTGGGTCATCCGTTCCCTTGGCAGGATTATCAGACTGGGAGGAATCTGCTGACTTGGTTTTGGAGGCATTTGCTTTGTTTGATGGAATGTAAGGAAGTAAATCATCAGTGCAGCCATGATCTGAAACATCTCCAGGGTATTTCTGGGAATGTGATGAAGTCTCAGAGCTGTCATCTTCAGGCACTCCATGCTCATCGTGTTTGTCACTAGATAATGTTTCCCTTCCATTACTTATTGCTATTAGCATCTCTTTTGAAACTTTAGGGAACACATCACCATTGTCACAGACAAACTCTTCTGGGATACTGATGTCTGTGTCCTCTCCATATTTCAGCTCTAACTCAGAGTCTGAAATGGAGTTTTCCAAGACATCAATCCAAACTGCAGACACTTTCTGAAATTCTGGAAGTGAAGAGTCCGATTTAGCACTTTCACATCTCAAATAGAAGCTGTTTGACTTGGACGACAATTCAGTGGAAGCTAATCCTTTGGAAAATGCTGTTAAACTTAGCTTTTCGTCAGAAGCTTCATGAGAAACTTGGTCCAAATTCTTTAAACACTGACTACCATCCACCTGGTGGATCTCACAAGGGTCAGGCACTTCCACTTCTTTAACTGGAACATTGAAAAGAAAGTTCTTTTTAAAAAAATCAGCATTTCAGAAAAAGTTATTTTATAGAAGTGTTTGCTGACAGGTAACTTCAGATTCAAATCCAGTAATCCTCAGGTGTAAATTGCATTCAAAAGACAGTAGCATTAATTACACAGTCAAGATTAGGACTATTTTTAATATAATTGTAAAAAAAGAAAAAAAAAATCAGATTTATCAAGTGAAGATGAAGAACTCAGTAATGTAGCAAACAAGCAATACAATAGCGTCCAATGTAGTTGATCAGAAGAGTTTAAATGCAGGATTTTCATAAAAATCTCCATTACTTTAGCCCAATAAGTAGCTTCATTACCTGGTACAAGTAGTAGGCTATTATCCTCTACTCCAGGAAGAGCTACTACTCAGGCTGTATGTTAAATAACAATAGAAACCCTACTGGGAAAAGGCATTTCTTACCTTCTGACAAAGGGATTTCAGAAGGTGCTTTTTCATCTATATGTGTGATTTCCAGTTTTTCCTCAGAGTCTGTGCTAAATCTGAAAATATAACATTATAGTTGGATTAAACTGGAATTAAGAAATATGTGGTACACACTGTCATTCAATCATGTTGAGTAGAACATTGAATTTCTTTGGGTGTATTATCTACCTACAGACAGCATAATGCAAATTGTTTTAATTCTTATTTCAGATGCTTTCTGTCTAGCCCAAAGCCTTCTGAAAACAAATTTCTTCCCCCATCACCCCGCCAAATTGATTTCAAAACCCCTTCAACTGACTCCAAAGAATTAGATCATCTGATAAAACTTGGCAGACAATGTTTGATGAATGTGACAAGAATTATGTTAAAGTCCTTTTATAAAACAGTTTTTGTTTGGGATTTTTTTGCTTAGGGGTGTGCTTGTTGTTTTTGGTTGCTTGGTTGGTTTTTTGAGATACAAAATAATCCCAGGCTAGATCCATTCAGGTCTGCCTCCTCTTTCCACAAAAGGGCCACAGCCATGAGCATAAAACAAGCAAGGCAAGGTTTGACACATCAGTAGGAGAACTGGAAGGTAGGACTGAAGGTTTCAGCCTTGGCAGGTACAGTACCTCTGTTCTTCTGATGACCTTTCTTGTCTTAACTGGGTTTTCACTAATGTAGCTTCATTTGAAATTAATGTTGTTCTTCCATCATCTTCATCATCAGAAGAAAGATCTTTCTTCCTTTTCCCAGCCTGCAGAGAGTGTGATCAAGAATCACTGAATATACAGGAAACCTAAAGAATAACAGTGATTTGCTACTGGACTTCCCCCAGACCTAATGGCAATATTTTAACATGGTACAACAATTCCTCAATACAACTTCAGCTTCTCTGCCTGTAAGCTACTCAGCTTACTATAGCCAATACTAAGGATTTCTTTTGTTGAAAATTTATGTGAGAAAAACTCAGTTAAGTTAGGTTCGCCACATGCCTGAAATGGAAAGCAGAGGTCCTGCTCTTCTCTTAGACTTTTATGACTTGGTTGCTCCTTGTGTGCTTTCTCCACTATCAGAGACTCTTTCTCTGGATCTAAGGATGACGTAGCATCACCTGAAATACACAGATTATTCAGCACAAAAGGCAAATACAGTATCGTTCTTTATCTCAGTTACACAAAGCAGCCATGACTACAGGAATTTAAGGCTTGCTACTGGAGTTTATAGCTGTGCCTATGCACTGACACTCTAGGCTATGAAACAGCACAGGGCTCCTAGCCAAATATAAAAATGAAAACAAAACACTGATGGTGAAATTGTGGTCCACTGAAGCCCATGCAAGAGTTTCTCTTTGCCTGACAGACAGGATTTATTTTAGGTAATTTGATGTCCACATGCTCAAAGGAAGGCTTGAGAATCTAGTTAAGGTGCAGCTTATGCCAAACTTCTATCAAGACCACTGTTTTTACATTTTAACACGAATCTAGTCTCCCTCACTATGGTATCTAGGAGTAAATGCAGAAGGGTAGCTCATTAGAAAAATAGCACAAATGCAAAATATTGCCACAATATGTTAATATTTATAATACAGAGATTATGCATACCCAGAACTATGTAAATGATAACTGGCTCATATATAAACAGCCAGTTTTATTTTTTATTTGTCCTACTGAGAGCAAGAAATATGAACTGAGGATAAAACCTGGAAACAAAAATAACTCCAGCATGTCCTGTCGAAGTCTATCTTCCGCTGATATATGTTCTTTTAAGAAGAACACCCTTAAATTATTTTAAAAATGCCTCAAAAGAGAGTAAATTGTTAATGACACAATCAGAATAAGTTATGATTTTGTTCTGAGGAAGCAGTATAATCATATCTCATAATAAACCTTTGAGAGATCTCCACCATCTTGCCTAGCAGTGATTTATATATTGGGTATAGTGAGCAAGACACTTAAGTAATAAATGAGAAGATTGTCTCTCTTTCTGTCTGGATTAAAGTTTGATTGAAGTGGTTGAAACAGATTGGACATAACAGCATTAAATATGATTTACCAGTTCCTTGAAGAGTGTTTTCTGCCTGAACCAGGCATAAGTTACACAAAGTATAAAGCATCCCCAAGCCTTTCACTGTGAAGTTGCTGTCACACAGATTAATATCTTCATTGTCTTTAGGATCTATCTTTGTGTTTGAAGTAAGTGCCTTTTTCTCCAGCGCAGGTTCCTAGAATGTAAATATTTAAGAGACAGAGTTAATGTCTTCAGGGAAAAGGTCTTTGCTGGCAGAAAGAATAATTAAGAGATCAGAGATTAAATCTACATCTTTGCACTAAGATATATAAGTGCATATAGACCCCTTTGTATATATACCCAAGTTGGGGCTGTCACTGATGTAGGAAATAGGAAAGGGACTAGTCTCTGCAGCTGCTGTGGGCAAATAGTTTACTGTGCCAGGGACAGGTTTAGTTTCTCCTGGAGAAGCACAGTGCTTGCCCACAGGAGGTGGCGTAAACACATTGTCACCAGTTAACAACAGAGAGAATGGAAGGTCCATGAAAGCTGTGGTAAACCAACTCATGGCAAAATTTAGTCTTTAACTGAAGTGCACATAATCAACATACAAGACTGATTTCTGCTTGATGTTCAAAATGGACAAATGAGTCTTGTGCTGGTCCTATCTTAAGGCAAATATAACCTGGAGCACCATTTCTTCAGGCAGAACTGGAATACCAGAGGTGATCCTTACCAGAAATGCACACTTTCTGCCTTCTCTTGTAATAGGTGTGGATATAGGTTCATCCATTCTAGCTGAATTTGCATGTTCCAGAGGTAATAAAGCATGATCCTGAGCATTAAGCTCTGAAAGGTACAACATTAAGTTACAAGGTTTCCAATGCAGCATTTTTTTTCCATTAATAACTTGACTATAGCTTTGTTTAGCTCAGTCAAAAAGGCTTATTCAACGATATTTATAGTTTGAGTAACTTAGTTTTGCCCTTCACATTCCTTGTCACACCAGCAGAAGCTGAAAGGATCAATGACCTTATTTATCCAATCATCACCTTATGTATCATCCAGATACATGGTTGCAACTGTAAAACCCTCTTCCAGAAATTTCTACACTTTCTCTCTTCCTTCATCTATGCATAGCTGCTACCTCAACAAAACAACTTACAGCTTTGTTACACCTTCCACCTGCTAATGCTGAACAGATCCTTGTACCAAAACCCACACTAGAGGTAACCAAGGAACAGATCAACATCACAAGTTCTCTTGGGGCTGATTAGCTCAACAGCCCTCTTCTGCAAGATTATTTGAACTGCTCCAAAGAACAACTCAGACTTAAACGTTGGCCCTAAGCCATTCAGTCTAAGTGATCACAAAAGTGCTTGGCTACAGGAGTTGTCTTTATTAGGTACCTGGTTTTTTGCATTCTTTAATCATAAAGACTGAGCCTATGGCTTGATTAGTAGTACCACACGTTTTCTTGGCCACCTTTT